ACTGCAGAAATCAACTTGTTTCTATTTTTAAAACCTAAAACTTTTAGAGTCAAAATAAAGGAAAGCCAGCCTCTTTGAGATTTTAGTTTCTATGGATACATTTTATTTTACAAAAAGAGGGGTGTTTGAAGCCTTCATCTGGAAGAAAATATATGTTACTAATAATAGTTTAAAAGTAAATTTGTGGAAATTAAAAATATATATTCACAAATGCTATAGTTTCTGTGGACATGCATTTGATACACAAATGGAGCTTACCTTATATAACCTAGTAAGGCTATTATTGTCTTAGCTATCTGAATTTTGTTCAAATAAAAAATATCCCTGAAATACTTTCCTGCTAACCTCGTTTCTCTATCTAGTGAGAAAGATAGTCACTTATTCTAAATATGTGTATGGTCAATAAGGGATGCTGAAAAGGATACCTTTCAAAGTGCTTAAGTCCTAGTTGACTACAAGATTCTCTTTATTTCTAAAATTAAAAATAGACATTGGGGAGGGTATGTGCTATGGTGAGCACTGTGAATTCTGCAAGACTGTTGAATCACAGATCTGTACCTCTGAAACAAATAATACATTATATGTTAAGAAAAAAAAAAAAGAAGAAGAAGAAGAAAAAAAAGATAGCAGGAGGGGGAGACGAACCATGAGAGATGATGGACTCTAAAAAACAAACTGAGGGTTCTAGAGGGGAGGGGGTGGGGGGATCGGTTAGCCTGGTGATTGGTATTAAAAAGGGCACGTTCTGCATGGAGCACTGGGTGTTATAGGCAAACAATGAATCATGGAACGCTACAGCTAAAACTAATGATGTAATGTATGATGATTAACATAATAAAAAATAAAAATAAATAAAATTAAAAATAAAAGTAAGTGAGACAGCATTCCATAAACTGATACCTAGTCTGCTACTTGCTAGCTAAGTGACCTTAAGCAAATTCTTAATCTCCCTGTGAACGAAGCAGATGGTAGGAGTATTCAGTACATATGGCTGTTCCGAGGTTCAAACAATAATGTACATACAAGAGTTTTCCACATTCAGTGGTATTATTTTTATCATCTAAAATCACTGCCCATTAGCCTGTCCATCTCTCCTTTAAAAGCTTTCTAGGCTCTTAGTTACTTCCAAGAAAATGGAAGATATTTACTTGCCAAGATGATGTTTTTGAGAATCCCCAACACTTGGGGAAACACCCTACCCCATCTGCTTCTAATCCTAATCTTACCCCCAACATACACTCTCCAGTTTATCACAAACTGTATTTTTGTTAAAAACCCAGGTGTAACACCTTCATCACTCTAACCAATCCATCATAGAGCTGGATGTGTTCTACCTCTATGTACCACTTGAACTGATTCTTTTCTCTCCATCCCCAGTGCTTCTCCATGAGACCAAGTCATCACTGATTTGCACTTTTCACAAACAAATCGGATAATTTTGTCACTCTAAAATATCACTAGAAAAATCAGATTTTGTCAGTTTTCTTTTTAATGGTATCCAACTTGAACCCTTCTTTCTAGTCTAGGCAATATGCCAATTCTTCATCAATAAAATCCGTCTCATTTCTACATCTTTGCCTTCACTTACGAGATCTCTCTTTCTTCACTTATGAGATCTCTCTGTACTTGCATGCCATCTCTACTTCTCTTCTCTCTGACAAATTTTTCCAACTTGCAGCAGCTAGTAATTGCTGACTATTCCATCCACAATGATTTCTCCTTTACTGAAATGCTATTGCCCTTGTAGTCAGACCCATACTGTTTAGCTGTGTAGTGGAATTTAGCTGTGGAATTTGAACAATGTACACGCTGTATAGCCTAGTGTCAAATTCAGGTAAGCACACAAAAACCGGATTTATAATAAAAGGGAACAAGGTTCAAATTCCACAGCTGTGCCCAGCTGCGTGCCTTTGAGCAAGTTACTTGACCACTCTGAGCTTCCGTCACCTCATCAATTAAATAGATGATGTCTCATGTCACTGTGTTGATAAAATTATAGAGCATATGAAAACTGTAAAATATCTATGCAATGCCTGACCCTGTAGGAGACTGCTGTAAACTGCTGTGTGCAATGTAACTCCAGGGAGCACCATCATCTTGAGCAGGGTATGTGGTGCCAACACAGCCAACTTGTTATGGTGGTACCTCCTAGTAGGTTAAGTAGTCAGTATTATTATTACTTACCTCATGTATTTTGACCTTTCTTACGATGCAGATCATAAGTGTGGGAGGGCAGCCATCCTCAAGTAATAATGGACAACATAATAGGTACACATTTAGTAAATATTTCCCTATTCTTCCCGCCCCATCCTGCAACAAATTTGTTTCTGTGAAGTTGAGTTTTTGACCCATACCACTGGCTTTCATTGAAGAGTGTATTAAAAATATCTGTCACATAAAACAAATTACTATTTCTTTTTCAGGGACATGTTTACGGGCACTGCCCTGACGTTTCCTGGTGCCGCCTCTTTGAAATTCAGTGTGAGAGATTTCTTTTGGAACTCAAGTCTAAGAAAAGCTTTGCTTCTCTTAAAAAACATGTATAAATCACAGGGATGCTGATAAATATGTAATAGACTATGTTTCTTTTTTTATTTTGGTTATCAGGAAGCTGAAGGTCAAATATAATATTCCACTTTAGCAACTAACTAGAGTCTTAGGACTTGCTGACCGTATGACCTTTTTTCCCCTGCTGGTCTGTACCATCACTGTAATATAACTTTACCTATAAATGTACCTGTTAATTTTCCACTAATATCCATTCTCTCTTTCTTCCTTTTATTAATAAAATTCTCTGAGTTTTAGTGGGGCACATGGATGTCCAGTTTGAGACAACATTTCTCAGCCTGCTTTCACTAAATGACTAATTGGATATGACAGGCATGTTGCGTACAATTTCTGGGTCATGCCCTCAACAGGAAACTCTACTCTCTCCTTCTTCTTTTCTCTTCTGAGGGACTATGACTTAGACATGGTGCTGATGAGCCAACTTGGACCTTGTGGAAAGGGCAATGTCTTAGGGGAGACAGCAAAAATTAAGAAGGATCCCTAGAATATTATCAAGCCCCACCCCAATGGACTCCAGTCCAGTTGAACTTTCATGTGAGTGAAAATAAGCTTTCAGTTCTAAGCCTGTGTTATCTTGGTCCTTCTTACAGCAGCTGAATCAATACCTTACCTAATATACCCTCATCCTAATATTTTGTTTTTACTTACATAGTTTACTTTTGTTCATGTATATTTCTTTAAGCTATTTCTACTACTTCTGTTGTTTGTATGAATGGAAAGAGAAAGAGAAATGAACCCCACACACTGACAAGCTTGACAACTAGAATCTGCCCAAACCCCTATCACACTTCATACAAATTCATTTCTGAAGTAGAACGATTCTCTTTTCAAAATGTGCTCAAAGAGGAATACTAATTTGCATTTGTTTAGACCTTTTAAATTTTACTTCAAAACACTGTCCTATCTTACACAGAAGGGAGAAGTAAAAAGAGAATCTTCTGTCCTTCAGGTTCAACAAGGCATACACATGGCATTTTTCCCAAACTCAAATAGGTGACCTAACGTCAGCAATCACGGAGAGAGGATTAACAGATGTGACAGTTAAGCAGTGATCTTGAGTATCATTTTTCTTCATGTGAATGGACTTATAAAAAATTAAAATAGCAATACATATTCAACTTCACAAGCTAAACATTTTAGGGAGTCTTAAAGAAAAACATGGTGATCCTTCTTCCCCTTGTCTGTAGTCTACCTGAGGTAATCAATGTTGAAGTATTCATTCTTGTATCTCTCTATTCTCCTATAGCCATATCTGGACATATATGGGCTTATTTTTACATAGTATATCAGGAGCATAAAACATACACACTTAACTCACATTCATAAAACACTGAGATAAAATAATGTTTCCTAGAATGGCTGTACCAAGTTTTAAACAACCAGCCTCATTTTGAGGAAATAATTTAATTAGCTAGTCTCCTATTGATATAAATAGAAAAAAAAAAAAAAACTATAGGATATATTTTGGAGATCAATTTCTATTAGTTCTACCTTGAAATTATATCTTCAAATCCATTTAATTTTCTCTGTCTCTCCTATCTTCACCACAGGCCAAGCTATCATTATCACTCACTGGGACTATTGCAACAATTTCCTCCTCATCTCTATGTCTCCATTCTTGTCCCTTGCAATCCATTCCTACAGAGGAATGGATTTTCTTTTTCTTTTAAAAACCTAAATCAGATGAAGTCATCCCCCTGTTTAAAAGCTTCCAATTGTTTCTCATTGATGTGAGAAGAAAATCCAAACTCCTTCCAATGTTCCAAAAGGTAAAAAGCTTCCATAGCTCTTCACACTGGTCCTTGCTTAAGCCTCCAACCTTATGACTAACCACACCCCCCACCCCCCACCACCACCCTGGCTTTTTCTTTTTGCTTTGGGGCCTCTGTAAAGATTTATTTACTTCTTTGCTGCTTCCCCCACTCAAATAAGTATCCTGAGAGGAAAGATCTTCTCTCCTTTGCTGCCATATTCCTAGCACCAAGAACAGTGTTTGGCATATAAAATGTGCTCAATAAATATGTCAGAAAAATGTTCTAATCAATCAATTTCAAACAGACTGGGTTCCATGTACTTTCTGATTGAGAGTTCTATTCCCTCTGTTGAGAGAAAAGGAAAAGAACTATTGACTCATAATTATGTGGCCTGGATTTACATCCCAACTCTATCTTTTGCTAGTAATTTAATTCTTTAGGCCTCACTTATTATATTTGGAAAATGTGGAATAATGAACTAGCTTTCAGGTTTATAAAGATCAAATAAGGTTAATGGATGTAAAGGCATTTAAAAAAGTCTTAAATGTTATATAAATGTTATTATTTCAATAAACTGGTACATAAATAAGTAATGAAAATATCAAGAATTGAATTAAATTGGACATTTAAATAATTTAAATAATAATTACATGGGAAATACATATATAAAACTTTTACCTTTTTATAACTGGATATTCTCTGACATATGTGCTCGATTTTTTCACTGCAAATGGCACTGAATTTACTCTGAAGGTCAGTAGGAATCACTTCATTTAAAGAGTTAAGGCTGGTACAGTTTTGTACAAAATGTTCATCACTTTTAGCCAGGGCTTCAAGAATCTGTAGAAACACACACACACAGAAAACAAGAAAAGAAAACCTTCAAAATTAGCCAAGTAAAATTTTCACAATTCTAGAACACAGGGTGACTCTACCCAGCACACTTCCCTGAGCTGCTTGGGATTTCTATGTTCAGTAAAGCCCTTGGAGTGAAGTGATGGGCTTGTGTGTTTGGCCTCTCATGTCTTGCCTTCTGCCAACTAAAAAAGGTTGCCTGAGGGAAGTGAGTGGACTTCAAAGACTCCCTGCTGGATAAATCAGTATGCTCTGATGTGGTAACACATTGCCTATATTTTAGTCAGAGTTACTCAGAACATTTTTTTCCCCAATTTGGTAGCAGAACAACAAAAACTAAGGAAAACCAACAAAACCATCCTTACTTTCTATTGGCAGGCCAGCACAGAGAATGCATGTAACAAATGTTTGCTGATGAAATGAATAAATAAGAAATTCTCTTGCTAAAGTAATATCAATGATAGTTGCAGTGTCTTAGCTCCATCTGATAAAGCATCAGATAAAAGCATCCATATGATGTATTCAATTAATAAATCCTTTTGGCAATTTGAATCAATTGTAAGACAGCACTTGTGTGTGTTTATGTATATACACACTATTGATCACTGAGAATTTCCAGTGAGTTGAATTAATTATGTGTCATATTGATGACTGTTCAAAGATTGCAAGGATTGGTAACACCCTTACATGACATTTTTATAATATTGAATGAGGGATACAGTGTAAAGATGCTGTTTATTTGAGCTCCCTCACCACCTCTACTTCCCTGACTTATAGAATATAAAGTGTGAGCTTTTTGTTTAATCACTACTCTAGATAGTAGAGCTCACTTTATCATTAGCTGTGTGATCTTGGTTAAATACCTTAATTTCTTTGATTTTCTTTTCTTCATGTGTAGAATGGAAATATTTACAGAATTTATACATTTCATATATATAAAATAATCCATGTAACTCTGCAAATTTGAAATAGCTAGAAAAGGAGATAAAATGCTAATAAACTGGTTCCAAACTCTTACATGGATTGCCTTAGTAATAATAAGGGGTTGCATTTTGAAAATACAGATTCTATATCAAAAGATACATAGAATAATGGAATTTTTTCAGAAAATTGACTTTCAGAATATAAAACAAAAACATAAAATAATTTTTGAAATAGTGCATAATCTATCTCAACCACTCATATATAAAACAAGGGTTAACATGAAAAAATAAAAGTAGTGAAGCTATATGTCGTATTTCTTACTTGTAATACCTGAATCCTCACCAGGTGATAGAAAAGCATGAGAAATACTAGAGCTCAGACCTGGGGAGGGTCCAACAGGAGTTTTACTGATTTACCTACTGGAAGAATCATGAAAAGCAAGCACAGGGTCACCTCTCAACCACATTTTATCCATTTGATGAAAACTCCCTTCCTCCCTATCTTGGTTTAATCTAAAGACTAAGGATGATATCCTTCCCAACTAAGAATTACATAAATGTCTGAGGGTCTGTTCATAAATGGATCTCTAAGCTTTGCGAAATTTTATGAAATAAACATGAGACTTGCAGAATTTGAAGTTTCTTATAATACATTTCATGACTTCAAATACTTTTCAGAGGATTATCTACATTTAAAAAAGCACCACCTGTCACAAAAACCATCTGAAAGGTATTCATGACACTGAATCAACAGATGTAGCAAACTTAACTAAATGCAGAGAAGCCTTTGCCAAATCAACTAACATTTGCCTGGGCAAGAGTCCCATCTAACTTCACACCCTGCTCCAAAAGAGATCGATAAAAAGAAAGGTTGTACGCATACCGAGTAATGGGGGACAAAAAAGAAAGAAAGTTGAATGAGCTGACAGCTATTTACATTTTTTAAAGTGGAGGTGGGGGAGGGTGTCAGTGACTTTATTTAGAACAAAATCCCTTGTTTGGCCAGGATCACGCATACCTTGGCAGTGAGGCTGAAGAAGCCTTTGGGCTCGATCATCTTCTCCACCACGTTGCACTTTATCCCAGCTGTGCTGTCATACTCATACACGACACCATATTCCAGATGCACGTTATCCACTGTGAGACTCACGTGCTCCTTCTTCCCGTCAATGATGGCCATGGTGTTAAACTTGTCAATCACCTCTGGAACAGAGACAATTTTAATTCAGCAAATTCAGGAAGGGTTTGTTAGTCTCTTCAAAGAATTTGAGTCTCTCCGAATAATTTTTAAAGATTTCTTGAAAGGATGGCTAAATCCGATGGTCTCGTTAACATTTTTAAAAACAAGAACACTTAAAAAAAAAAAATATGTTGAAGTGATCCAAATCTCACCACTCTAACATGACTAGTCTTTGCACATCCATTTTGGTCTATGGACCATATGTATGCCTATTTATACCATTATAAACATTATACATACAATTTTATATTTTTTATTAGAAGCATGCATGACTTAAAAGTCAGGGCTCCTAAAACTGCCTCAAACATCGAATGAATATTTGTTCAAAGCAGAAAAAAACATATAAAGCCATTCTGAAGAAGCAGAAAGGAGGTGCAATAATCATTTTTTTCAGCAGACAGGATGCATGAATTTTCCCAAACAACATCTTCTGCAGATAGCTCATTGAGAAAATTTGTCATTGTTCGCTATAATAACATTTTCATCTAGACTGTCTTCCTATCGGTTTTTGGCCTACAATCAGTCAGTGGCATAAAAACACCTAAAATCTCAAGCAGGAAACTCCTGAGAAACCTAACAGCAAATAGTAAATTAGCAAAAACAGAGTATTAGTTAACTAAAAACAATTAAGTCCTAGAATGGCAGAAATAGTAAATATAAAATAGGCAAAAGCAGAATAATGGTTTATTTTAAAGTAACTGAGTCCCAGAAGAGCTAGAAATAAATTATCAGAGCATCTCATCAACCCTTTCACTGTGGCACTAATAATGAGCAAAAAAAAGCTAACTCTAAATGAGGAATAAAGACCTCACGATAAGGTCCTGAGATTTGTCCTAGTTTAAATAATTAAGAAAGTTGGTATTTCATAACAACCTTGGTGCTCCAATGTGGTTGAAATACTTCTAATATCGTCCATGATCTTAGTGGCTCGTACCCAGTGGCCTTCCAGGAGTGGGGGGAACAGAGTTTTTGCTGAGTGCTCCCCCCTCTTATGATAAGTGTGTATAGGGGATTATGTAACTGGGCTGGTTGGAAGAACCTAATAGTACAATAAAAATGTCCAGAGTTATCCACTAATAATGTAAATGGAAAGATAACAGAAAAAAGGTAAGAGAGGGTTCAAGGACTTCTGTGAAAAAGTGTTGAAACAATAATTCAAGGTATTTGTCAAATGCAAACATAACTTTAATTGCCTCCATCCCTTTACCTTTGGTGAAGAAGCCACTGAATCCAGCAATCTGCTGGTTAGTTCACTGAGAAAATGGAAATGGTCTGAGTCCTTATCAAAAGATCTCTTTATCTCATTTCTACATTATTAGTTTGTCTCTTTCATTATAATTAATGTTAGAAGACAGTAAAAATTACTTGAATCAAGAAAGTATTTTCAAAGACACTATAGACTTTCTAAACTCAGGCTTCAAATTTTAGTGCACATACAGATCAGATCTTGTTAAAATGGAGATTCTGTTTCAATAGGTCTGGGGTGGGGCTGAGATTCTGCATCCCTCCAGCTGATATTGTAGCTTCTAAACCACACAGGATTAGGAAGGTCTACACAACGTTTAAACTCAAAACAAGGGAACACATTATAACTTGGGTTTGAATCTGCATTCTACAGTTTACTGGCTTGGGCAAATCCCTTAAGCTAATAAGCCTCAATTTCTTCTTCCATAAAATAAGGATGATGACAATAACACTATTGAGAGATTTCCTTTTTTGATGACTTTATGAGTTAACCCATGTAAAACACTTAAAGTGCCTAACAAAGTATAGTAGCTATGACATGTTAGTGACTAGCTATTATTACTTATGTATTTACACAACATCTATTGGGTGATAATGATTTAAGAAAGTGGCTTGAATATACAAGATTTTCAATAATAGGGACTAGACACAGGCACATTGAAAAAGAATACTCTATAAGCAAATGAAGAGAAAAAGAAGGAACCCACCTTCTACTTTGCAGTCAAAAGCATCCCCTACTTCATCTCCAGGAGGTTTGGAGTTAGACTTTTGAAGGTCTTCTTGAGCGCTCTCAATGCTATTATAAACCCATTGTATGGAATCTTGCTGGAATGAGGAGGGGGAAAGAAACCTCAGAGGTATTAGTGGTTCTAAAAAGGCATATCCATTTCACAAACCTGCTTTAGGAGAGTTGACAACCTTATTTATTCTTCTAGTTTATTTAAAGATAATAAAATTTGAAAGAGAAAGAAAATCAACATCAGAAACTAACAAAAAGTCAATGGCAATTATATTATTTAGCAAATTGATTTTTTTTAGGCTTGAAATTTTATCTTCCAAAGATGTTTTTAAATAGGCTGTTTTTATCAAGTGTCTTACTTAAATGCTTCAAGTATATCTTAAATTATAAATTACATTTTTAAATAAATAAATGCCACGGGGCGCCTGGGTGGCTCAGTCAGTTAAGCGGCTGCCTTCGGCTCAGGTCATGATCCTGGAGTCCCGGGATCGAGTCCCGCATCGGGCTCCCTGCTCAGCAGGGAGTCTGCTTCTCCCTCTGACCCTCCCCTCTCTCATGCTCTCTGTCTCATTCTCTCTCTCAAATAAATAAGTAAAATCTTAAAAAAAAAAAATAAATGCCACATGGACAGTTTTCTGAAGAATCAATCATCTATCACTATACAAACCACTTAAATGCTCTCCTGACACATATATTTAATCCAGTTAATGCTTTTTTGAATCAAACCAATAAGAAAATTGGAAGAACATCTTTCATTTCATTGGGTTCCCAAGTGATGTAACTGTTTTTTAATCCTTCCATATCATAAATCATCTTATATTTTAATTAAAATAGCAGTTGCAGGCTTATCTAAATAAATGAGAAAGAGGAAGTGCCCACCAAGTAATCGCTTTCAGGTCTGCATGACTTACTTTAAAGTTTATACCTTTCCTAGGTCAGATGATAAACTGAATTGCACTACTGAAGTGTGATATAATTTACATTTTTCTCTTGTCTTAACTTCACAATTGTGTTTCATTATTATATTGCTATCCAAATGCTAGTTAACATTTGATCATTCAAATACACCTTGGTAACCTGTTGTGACCCCTAAGGAACCACATGCTCTGGTATCCACACCTCTGTGTAGCTCCTTCCTACACTGACCCAAAGCTTGGTCATGGCATCTGATTTTCCCAAAGGGATATTAGTAAGCATGATATAAATAGAGTTGATGGTTTATCCCCTTTTCAAATGCAGATACCATGCAGGAAGGACAATCCGCTAGACTGGAAAAGGAGGCCATGTGGAGGAGCTCAGGAGTGAGAAAACATGAGGAGGGGAGTTGCGGAGCCCAGGTGTTTCCAGAACAAATTTGCCACATCAGTGCCTTCACAGGAACCAACACTCAATCGATCCGCAAAATCAAGGGAAATAATCAATCCCTGTTGTTTTAAGCCACTAAGTTTTCGGACAGTCTGTTTTGTGGCAATGGATACGTGATAAAGTAGGTTACTCAGTGAATTTTTCTGTTTATTGCTTTTCTTTTTTTAAAAAAAGATATTTTTTATTTGGGTGTTATATGTAACTGATAAATTGTTGAACACTACATCTGAGACTAATATGTACTATATGTTGGCTAAAAGAATTTAAATTTAAAAAAAAGATCTATTTATTTATTTGACAGAGACAGAGAGAGAGCACAAGCAGGGGGAGAGGCAGAAAGAGAGAGGGAGAGGCAGGCTCCCCACTGAGCAGGGACCCAATGCGGGGCTCCTTCCCAGGACCCTGGGATCATGACCTGAGCCGAAGGCAGATGCTTAACCAATGAGCCACCAGGTCCCCCTATTTATTGCTTTTCTTAATCATTTCACTAACCAACTCCTCTCTAAGAAGGCAGTCAAGGAAAATGAAAAGGAATGAAACTCAAATCAATCTGGCTACTTATCAAAATTCCGATTGAAGGGGAAAGGTTTGAGAATATCAGAACTGTCTTTTTAAAAAATTCATTCAATAATACAGCTCAATAAATATTTATTAAACCGTTATCAACCAGAATAACCTATGAGTCTATGCATGAATTCCAATTTGCTTTGCTAGTTTAGACCTTATTAATAAGCAAAATTGATGAGGTATTTTCTTGTAGGTTCAGTATTTTGCAGGATGTCAGTCCTGGCCTATGAGAAAATAACCACTTCTCTCTCTGGTTTGGACAGAGTCATATTTTCAAATCCAGAAGAGTACTTGGCTATGCATGAAGGAAAAAATACAAAGCCTCTCCTCTAAAATTCCTTTTACATTTAGTTGATTAATTTGAGAGAATTTTCTCTTATAGCCCAATATTCACTGTACCTCATGGGATAAGCTTTGCTTAAAATTAGGATTCTAATTTTATGTTTCTATAGCACTTGAAATTTAATCAGAGGATAATGCTTAGAATTTTAAGTAATGACAAGTACATTTTGGTATTTTCTTTCAAAAGCTAAATCCAATTACTTAAATAAATATATCCAAAACTTATTCACAGAGCCTATAAAACCCACACAGACACACAATGACCATTAAATGTCCTAAAGCATTCGCAAGGGTCAAGAAAACAATTCAAACCTTTGGATTTCAATCTGATAAACAGTTGGGTCCTTGAACACTCCCATCATAATGCAAATGAAAGTACCCCAGAGCACTTTTTAAACCGGTGATAATACTGTTAACAATAAGATGCAATCATTTTAAGCACAACCGATTATAAATAATTATATTATAATTATTATATTATAATATATACATAATATAATAATAATTATATTATAACTGATTATAATAATTATCTTGAGCACAACTGATTATAAATAATTATGCAAGTAAAACGATCATCGTGAGATTTACGATGCTGTGCTTTAGTGTGAACTTAGGAGTACAAACCGCACGCATCCCTGCCACTATCTCGTGTTGTCCTTTCCGCCTTCTGTGCAAGTTTGCAATGAGATCTGGGCAAGCTGCAGGGCAATTTACCTTCATTGGTCTTCTGTATTTCCTGCAGGCTGTAACATGTGCAATAACACTAGCATGGGTCTCTTTGCTGACATTGATTCCATTGACTTTGATAATACACTGTCCAGGGTGAAGACCAGCCGCTGCAGCCACAGTTCCTTCAAATACAAATGAGAAAATTGCCAGAAATTTGAGGAATGAGATTCATTTTTATCACACAGGCAACGAGGAAAGCAATTTTAAAATATAACCGAGATCTAGCTAGTATGTTCTTGAAAAATTTGGTTCTGATAGCAATGCCCTCTCAACATTTTTCATCTTTTCATCTGGCCATTCAAACTGTGATTAACAGAATATTCTCCCATCCCCCTAAGAATGAGTTTGAAGGGATATTGTAAAGCGACCTTTATAATGCTAATCAGTTATTTTCCCTCTCAAAGGTCTAGTCAGTCTTAATTTTCTACATATGCATATATAATGGCAAAATGGAAAGCCAGAAACGTATGCCTTATTTATCTTTCTTTAGTTTATAAAATCTCCAAATATTAAAATAGTGTTCACTTTCATTTGTTTTTCTTAGTAGCACTTATTGCAAGGGCATTTCTGAAATTTACAATAGCTTGTAAATCTCAGTCTTATTCCTTTTTAATTTATTTTTTAAATTCAAGTATAACATACAGCATTATATTAGTTTCAGGTGTACAATATAATGATTCATCAATTCTATAATCACTTTCATTTTTTAAGATGCAAACAGTTAAAAGAAATTCTTAAGGGAAAAAAAGTCAAGTCAATTAGCAATTACAAGTAGACTGGATCTGCTAAGTAAAATAAGCATTCAGGATATCTACAAAGGGTCAGAAACCACAGAATTGGTGGAAAATAAAATTAATAGGATAACATCAACTGTCCATCATTTATTTGCACAGATATAGACTTAAATATGCAAGTGGAATATCCTATCAGTGAGTTAAGATTTTCAGAAACTTTCAGTCATTATTAGTTGATATTCTGAGCAAATCAACCTTTACATAGCACCATTAATAAATACAATGAATATAATTAATATAAGTGATTATAAAACCTATGTTAGAAGAGCCTTCTTTTGTAAGCAATTTCTCCCATGAAGGAATTATTAAACTTCTTAGAGAACATAATTTATATTCAAGAAGATGGTATATATATTTTTTCTCACTAAAATTCACTTCCAGAAATACTAAGTGGTTTTTCTGGATTGAAGTAGATCTTGGAGGGAAAAGGGACACTCCCCATAGAAAGAATAGCCTGAAAAAAGGCACTGAGTCAAGAAATAACCTGGATATTTGGGAGCATATGAGCCGTTGGTGAGAGCTTAAAATGGGAGTGGTGGATGAAGACCCTGGAAAGCCAAGCAGAGCCAGGTTGTGAAGTCCTCACACACTTGATGTGAAGTCCTAAGACCTTAACCTTACTATATATGCATGAGGAAAACTATTTAAGAATTTTAAGCAGACAAGTGACATGACCCCCGAAAACAGAGGATGGATCTTTGGAGTTTAAGTCAAAAATCACAAGCACAAGCATCTACTGCAATTTTCTGGACTAGAACTAAAGAAGCATTTGTTACAGAAGGGGAAAATAAGATCAAGTATTTGATATGTGATGACAGAATTTGTGAAGAGGTTACAGTCCCCAGGATCACTCCTCTGCCTTTGGACTCAGTGGCTGAGTAGATAGTCATTTAAACAAAGAGAATACAGAAGGCAAAGCAAGTTCAGAGAATAGATGAAAAGTTCAGTTAGAGATAATACTGAGGTCTGAGCTAGAGGCAGAGATTTAAAAATCTCCAGCAAGAGGATCAATAAGATTTCTTAGAGAACAAGAAGCTAGAGAAGAGAAAAGAGAGCCAACAGTTAAGGGGTCGATAGATGAAGGGAGCTGCCAGAGGACAAATAGGAGAAAAATCTGAAAAGTGTCATCTCAGAAATCAAGAGATGAACATTTTCAGCAAACAGGAGTAGTCAGTTTAAACAAATGCCACAGAAAGTTCAATTAATACAAATGTTATCAATGTCCATAGTACTTTTCCGTCAAGTCCATGATAACTCTTTTAAGACAGATTTTGGAGACATGGGTGGGAGATGGGGAGAGATGTCTACCGCACTGGCCTAAAACTCAAATAAGAAGTGAAAGAAGGGCAGCTGAAAATACAGACAGCATTTCAGGAAGTTTGCTCATGACAAAATAAAAGTTATCAGAGCACATTCTAGAGCTGAGTTTATCAATCTTGGATGTGCATACAAATCATCTGAGGCTCTCATTAAAATGTAGATTCTGACTCAGTATGTCCTGGGTGGGTCCTAAGAGTGTGCATTTCTAACCAGATCCCAGGCAATGCCAATGCTGTATGTCTGTGGATCACATTTTGAGTAGCAAGGATCTAGACGGGAAAACAAGGAAAAGGGAAAGGTTCTGTGTTTGCTGTTCTAGTTTAAGATCATTTTGTTTCTTTGTTTATTTTAGTGGAAAAGAACTGAGCATGCTCACAGCCTGTACTAGAATAATCCAATGAAGAGAAAAGGCTGAAATTCTGGAAGGGGATACCTAACAATGTAATACTCCAGAGAAGGTATCTGAAGGGATGAGATCTAGAACACTTAAAGAGAAATTCACCTTGAACTCTAAAAAGGAAAAAAGGCCTCTTCCTCTAGGGTGGGAGAAAGCTGGTGATGGTGGTGGAGTCAGCAAAAGGTGTGGGTGTGCAGAAAAAGGTGTGGGGCTCTGAGGGTTTCATACCTAGGACTCTGAATTTATCTGTGAAAAAGGAAGTTCATCTGGGGAGACAGGAGGGAATTATGAGAAGAAAAAGAGGGAGGTGATCAGAGACATGAAAAGATTGCTGAGTAGTAAGACGGGCCAGTAAAAGACAGGATGGTGAACAGGGATGACACTAATTCCACATCCGTGATAGTTTTTTTCCCAGTTACTTAGGAGAAAAAGCAAAAAGGATGGTTAAGTTGATCCAAGGCTAAAAAGAGGTGACATGGTGCACATGAAGAATAATGACAAGAGGACCCTGGTGATGCTGGCAAGAATGACTGAGGTGACCTACCATGGGGATAAGGCTGGCTAAGGAAGGGAGTCTTCAGGGGAAAAAGAGAAGGATCCAGAGCCTGGAGGTCCCAAATGAATTAAAACAAAACAAAACAAAACAAAACAAAACAAAACAAAACAAAACAAAACAAAACACAAGCTGAGAATATCAAAGTGATGAGATTGCAGTAAGAAATTGGCATATTGGAATTTTAAATTCCAAAGGTGAAATTTCAGTTATAGATATACTCTAGTATGTGGCCATGGGAAGGGGCTGAAGAAGAAAAAGGGAGGGCGCCTGGGTGGCTCAGTTGGTTAAGCGACTGCCTTCGGCTCAGGTCATGATCCTGGAGTCCTGGGATGGAATCCTGGGATGGAGTCCCGCATTGGGCTCCCTGCTCAGCGGGGAGTCTGCTTCTCCCTCTGACCCTCCCCCCTCTCATGTGCTCTCTCTCTCTCTCTCAAATAAATAAAATCTTTAAAAAAAAAAAAGAAGAAAAAGGGAAACAAGTTTTCCTTTCTTACAGCAAAATTACAGTGCAAAAAGAAACCATGGAATAGTATCTTTTTATTTAATATACATCTGAAAGGAAAAGCACATGAGCATTTCTGTCTTTTACTCTTCAGAAACAAAGAGCATAGGAACCAGATTTGGGCCTACCCTACAACTACGTTGCAAAGACGGAACCCAGCTCTTTAAATGACACTGTAATAAGGACAGAAGCACAACTTGATTCACTCAGGTTTTCGGTTATTTTACAGTACTCATAAAGTGACTTACTCTTTTTTGTTTAGTGAAAATGAAGAGCGTGGATATATCGACTCTCCCCTTTCAGTATGAAATATATCCCATTTCAGTTTTATAATATGAATGAGTTGTTGGAAAGGTTTTAAATGTCTATTAGTCTATATGTTTTAAACATCTGAGTGAAAAGACAAGTTTTTGAAATAAGATTCATTTTTGTCATATATACACTAATGAAGGCAATTTTATAATCTAATAAAGGCCTAGCTAGTATGTTCTTGATAAATTTGATTCTGATAGTAATGCCCTCTCAAAATTTTCCAGACTAATATTTGGGTGATCATATTAAGATGTTTTACATTTTATGTTTCTTAGTCATGAAAAGCATGTATGTCTCTTGTTAAGATAAACACATGCCCTCTTTGCTTATAAAGACATTTCTTTCTATAGCAGCAAGTTATATACTCTGTGGGATCTAACAGTCATTCCCTTAAATCATTACTAGTGTTAGTATAATATAAAATTTAAAATGCATATAACAAGAGATATCAATGCAAAGCAAGCAAAAAAACAAAATATAAACATATTATTTAATTTAAAATGCATTTTATGGTTTATGAAATGCTTCATTTATAGAAATACTTGAAGTAATCATATAGCAACAGGTTATAAAGCACACAGATAATTCTTAAACTTGAAAACTTACATCTTTGAGTTGCTGACAAAATATAGTTATTTGCCACCAGGAAAAAATACAAATAGACAACCTTAAAATTGTTATATCCTTTGGCTAAACTGAAACATGCAGAAAAGTGAGATTGGGAGGCATCGTTCTCTCATCAGTTTTTAAAAATTTTTTTATTTAAATTCAATTTAAATAACATGTAGTGTATTATTTGCTTCAGAGGTAGAATTTAGTGATTCATCAGTTGCATATAACACCCATTTCTCATTGCATCACGTGCCCTCCTTAATGCCCATCACCCAGTTACCCCATTCCCCCACCCACCTCCCGGAGCTCCAGCAACCCTCATGTTTTTCCTAGAGTTAAGAGTCTCTTATGATTTGTCTTCCTCTCTGCTTTCATCCTATTTTATTTGTCCTTCCCTTCCCCTATGTTCATCTGTTTTGTTTCTTAAATTTCACATATGAGTGAAATCATACAGTGTTTATCATTCTCTGACTGACTTATTTTGCCTAGCATAATGCCCTCTAGCTCCCTCCATGTCATCAGTTCTCAACAGTGATAAATGTGCCTTACAATTTTTAAGAGTTTTTTAAAAAACAGTGTTTTAGGAATGTACTGCCATTGAGCCAATAAGGTAAAAATATGATTGAGAAAATTCACGACAATATGACCATGCACATTTTGAACATATTCGTGTTCAGCAAGCAATATCCAAACATGCTGTAAAGCTGTTTGCCATGCAGGATGACTTTCTCACCTCTTCCCACTGCATGGACAACCGATGGGCCATATCCTCGGATCTGGAATCCAAGTCCCTCAGCTGAATCGGGGATTTTCACTGTCCTAAAATCAGTCAGAAAATAGGGTAAGATGACTTTAAAATGCCATAGTTGGTTAAAACAATAGTGTTCCACGCTTTTATTCATTCTTTCAATAAATACGTGTTGAGAGTCTACTGTGTAAAAGACACTGACTGGGCTAGAAACCAGGAAACAGGGCGCATGCCCTCACAAAGGCACCCAGTAGGCATGCACCACAGACTTCCTCAATTGAGCGTGGCTGGTACATGGTACATGCTGAGTAAGGAACAGGCTCTGGGAGCGGACAAAACTAGCTCTGAATCCTCATTTCGTCACTTGATAGTTGAATAACTTGCATGAACTCCTTAACTTCTCTGAGCTTGAGTTTCCACAGAAAGGATGTTACAACTTACTTTGCAGGGGGTCAGTGGAGATTAAAAGAGGAATCTTTGGCCAACTGCCCTACATCATGCTATGAATTATGTAGGCACTTCAATAAAATGGAAGCTTCTCTCCTTAGTTTACTGTTTTTGTTTTGTTTTTTTTTAAAAGATTTATTTATCTTAGAGAGAGAGAGAGAGAGCTCGTGAGCAGAGTTAGGGGCAGAGGGAGAAGGAGAGAATCCTCAAGCAGACTCCTTGCTGAGCTTGGAGCCAGACTCAGACTCAGGGCTACATCTCACGACCTGAGTTCATGACCTGAGCCAAAATCAAGAGTCGACTGCTTAACCGATGGAGCCACCCAGGCGCCCAACTCCTTAGTTTACTGTTACAAAGAAGCCAGCGCACTGTGAAATTTGTTGAAATTTCTTTGTTAAAAGTAATAAAAGAAACACAGAGTTATATATTCTACCTGTTGGGAACGTCATCAAAGAACAACAACAAAAAGCTAGTTATAAAGAAGAGATCTGTCAAACACTACATCAAAATAATTTAAGAATGTGATTAACTTTAGTATTTATTCAGTGAAATTTTGAAAGAATAATACATCAAAAGGGAAAACCTGAATAAGAGAAGAAGTATTTTCAATGAAGCCATGTGGAAAAGAAGATGAAGGAATGCTGCTGTTATGTCAAAGCAGTGAGGGATGTCCAGTCTGGCACTAATAAGTGAGCCACTCCACAGAGGGAAGCCAGGGATCAGAGAGCAACGATGAAATGCAGAGCATGAGATAAGGCGGAACATCATAATAATAAAAACGAGCATCATAAATTGCAGTACAGAGCAAAGACAAACGAATACAATGCAATAAATTTTGATGGATAGCCCTCGATGCCCAAGAAACAAAATTGTTTTCCAAAAGATGATGAATTAATCATGAGATAAATGTCAGTGGCACTTCAAGGGCACATTCGACAGAGTCTGAAGTTAGGTACATCGGCACTTACTTAGAGTTTGTAAAAAAAAGCTGCTAGAGCAGTTTGAGCAACACTGTGCCTGGAACACTTGAGAAAACGCTATATGGCGTTGTGTCTGATGGCAGAGGCTGGTCCCGCAATCTGAACTATAACTGAGGCAGGCGTTCCAGCATTTGGTGATAGAAATATGAATTATCTGTTTTAGGGCAAGCTGAAAGTAGTATTATGAATTAGGTTACACACTATGAGTAGGTTATACACTATGAAGTGATCTGCATATTGGTGGAGTAGAGGTCACAGAATGAATATATCCTTTATCCTTAATTATACACTTTTTGGTGTATAAGGCTGTATTTGCTTGCTTTGAATAGCACCTTGTTACTAGTGTCTGTCAAAGAAAAAAAAAAAAGACACCTGAAAATGGAAGATAACTGACTAAGGAAAAGAAAAGGGAATACATACATTTTCTGAGCATGAAACAGAAAAACAGAAGTAGCTTATGCTTCTGTATATTATGAATGAGAGTTCACTTTTGCTGAAATAACTTCAAGCTCTCAGGCCATGGTGAGTTATTGTTGCTTTTGGATTGTGAGGAATTCACAGCAGCCTCTTGGTTCTTTCTGAGCAAGGTCTTCTATCCTTCTAATATTGCTAGGGAAGGTTGACCTTACTCCAATCTTCAAGAAGATTATTGTAGATTTCTTTAAAAATTTTGTACAAAACACCATGAGATGCATTTTGGTCATAATACTGGGGCCCTCTTCATAAAATGATCTTTGGAAAACATGTTGCCCTGCTGGGACCACTATATTGTCTAGTAAATGAAGAATTAAATTTATACAAAAGGAACACTGTATTTCTTGTAGAATGTACGTGCACTAAATAATCTGCTACAAAGCCTTTTGAAAAATTCTTTGATGCTATGAAGTGTAAAATACAGCTAGTCAAAAGAAAACTTCAGTTGGATTTACTTCTCATATTTTTGCTTTCCTCCCTACCCCCAGACAAGACACTACATCAAATATAAGTGGGTATTGTAAGAAAATATGAGAGAAGGATTTATAGGAATCACACATTAGAATAAGGACATAAAGGCTACAGATTTCAAGCAAATTAAAAGATGAAAAATGAATACTCTATCCTCAAAACAGTTTTGAAATACAATATAAAATATGTTCCTGATGTACTAAAGAAGCAATGAAAAAAATGAAATAAGACAATAGACAAGCATCACAGATAACATCACTGGAGTACATACCATGTGCTGAACAAGTCACTAAGTTCTTTACAAACCTAAATTTATTTAATGTTCTTAGCAGCTCCATGACATAGACACCCATCATCTTCATTTTTTTATGGATGAAGATGTTGAAGCAACACAATTAGCAAGCAAGTGGTAGAAGAGAAGCTTGAAACTGGACCAGAAATATTGGGTTCCAAATACTGTGTAACAAACACTGCAGGAAGAGTCAGAGGACACAGGTTCTAATGCTGCTCATCTAGCAGTTAGTTCTAGGACTGAAGATTTGCCCCCATTTAGTCTTAAAGTTGAGGACTTCAGAGTGATCCAACTGTTGAAATGTCTACGATCAGTGAATCGGTAGTTGCAGGGTTAAATCAGGGGAAAATGGGACCATGAGGAGGACCTTTACGTTTACTGATTGATTTGGACTATTACTCCCTTATTCGTTTCTAGTCTGTCCTTTTCCTTTTAAGTGTCCTCAAAGTGTCCAGAGGTAGGCAACTAGGTGAGCCTTACCCTAGATAGGGTTGGGTAAAGAGGGAGTAATAGATCAAAATTAGTTTAGAGAGAAGACAGTGTTATGGTTATTCTCTGCCCTCTTGCCCAAAGTCTTCCTAAATGAGTAATTTGAATGAGTCACATTCACCCCTTCCTTGGTACGTTTTGGCGTTGACCTTGATGACTTAATGCTGTAGAATCTAGCTCATTACATTGCATACTTGCTTAGGCAGCACATATATTCTAGCTTATTACCTTGCATTTCAACTCCTAAGATAAAGAGTGCACCCAGTTATTGCTAAATATATATATTAAGGCAGGGAAGAATACTATGCTATATATACTGAGAATATTTTCATAAGCAGTTAAAATAAAACTTTTGTTTTTAAAGTGGTAACCTTCATTTACCTTAAAATGAATAAAGTTGCTTATTACTATTAATAAATGCTATAATTGAATTTTAAACAGTAATTTTGATACAATCATAGTACATTAAGACATTACCACTAAGCACTTCATATGAATTATACTAATTAATTTATTGGTTAAACAAATCATGGAAACGTGATACAGGAACACTAGACCATTTGCAGAAGAAAAGCCAATCTCTTCCAAGTATATCCATAGTATCTTATTAATTTAAAAAAACAGGTTACAATGCATAATCCCATTTTATAAACACATGGTTGTGTAAATCTGTTTCAGTACATCGAAAAGTCAACTATCATTGAATTTCAAAAAAAGTGATGGTTATTTATGGATGATACGATTATAAGAAACATGTCTTCATTTAGAAAAATCTATACTCTCTAAATTGGCTATAATAAACATGAGGTTTTTTCCTAATCATAGGTAGGCAGATAGATAGGCATTTTTTTAAAGAATTGACATATCACTACGTACAAGCAAGCATGCAAGTGTATTTCACCCAGTTGTGCTCCCATTTCTTATATGTGTTTAATTATAAACCTAATATCTAACTAACTCATAGACCTAAAATTCTTAGAGCTGAACATGGGGAATGCAGTTCTTTATTATCAAGTGTTCTATCAGTTTTCTTCACTTATAATCACACTCAACCCAACCTAGACCAGGAAAATTTGGGCAGCAAAAAGGAAGTATTATTTCTATTGAAACTACCTGATGTGAATAGCAAGCATTAGCAGCATGAGCGATGCAGTTTTCCCCATCATTTAAAGACAAGTATTAGTGATCTTGGTAAAGTCTACATGTCCCAAGCAATGAGATACTTAATTCTAGACATGTACTTAGTTAACTTTTCTATTTTATTCACCTATGTATAATTTTTTTAAAAATCCCACATAAATCATACAACTTACTCCCTTGGCTTTGTGCTCATGAGAACTCTTAGAGGCTTTCTGCTGTTTAAGCATGATTTCAGGAAGCAATCCACTTCATTGAAAGGTCTCATAAAAACTAGGTCACCATTAATAGCAAAGATCTTTTTCCCAACTTCCATGCCAGCCATCTAAGAGAGAAATAGAAAGAAAAAAAATCAAATTATATTTTAATAAGGAATCTATTTTTTTCACAGAATTAGAAGCTGAAAAGACCTAGAACTTACAGATTTTTGACATTTCAACACATTTGCAATGTTTTTTATGCAATTTCACACAACAGAACTGTGGGGGAGATAACACAGTTATTCTCTTTGACCTAGTTTTAAAGTTGATCACCCATTTGCACTGAAATTCCCGCCGCTTCTTTTATGACTTAATTTTGTTTTCCTCCTGTGACCCTCTTTCTATTGTATCTTCCAGTTCTTCTTCTTATTTCATCCTTTAAACTACAGTCAAACCCCAGGTTAATTTTTTTTTTTTTTTTTACTGTGTTTTCCATTTATATCCAATTAAGTCAGAGAGGTTCTACCTCTATACAGCCATCAATGATAACCGAATAAGCATTGCTAACATGACACAGCATAAATATCTCCAGGGCAGGAGAGAGGAATGGCCTGGAACCCAAGGAAAAGAGCTCCAAAAAGCACAGATTGCCAGAGGCTGGAAAGATGACAAAGAAGACATTATCTCTCCATGCCAACCAGGCTGCCATTCTTAACCAATCCCATTGCCTCCGAACTACATGCTGTTTTGGTTACCAGAGAAATGATGAAGACCCGGGAAAGGGCACTTACTCAGTGGCATAGTTAGATGAAGCTGTGCTCTAAGAACACCCACAGAAAATGTCTGGGAGAAACATTTCCTTCTGGCAGAAAATTACTAAAAACAGTCATTTGTTGGCCCAGCCCACTAACAAAGTATGAGTTGACCAGAGTTATTTCGTTTGAAATTAATGTGCTGTACCTAAAACACTGTCTTGCATGAATTTGTGTTTTGGTAAAAGATGGAGACCTTGGACATTAGCCAATAGGAGGGTGGATGGAAGTATGCTACTAACTTTAAGCCAGGTTCAAAGTTAAAAGTCATGCTTCATTCATTCTCACATTCTTTATTTAAGATTTATATATTTAGAAGTTTGCTTGAGGATTAAGGTATTTTTACAAGCCAGGTCGCAAGGTGAGAATACTTTAAATCTGACATATTTGGGATATAACACTCCCAGTAGGTTCCATGAGAGCAGAAGATTTTGTCTCTTTTATTCATTGCTATATTCCCAGAGCCTGGAACAGTTCCTGGCATATAATAGGTACTAAATAAATAATCCTGAATGAATGATCAGGAGATTCCTTTGATTAAAGGCTGCAGAGGTGAGAGAACATCAAATAGCATTAACCTAATGAGAAAATAAGTCAAAGCACATGCTTTACTGATGAAAGTTATATTTTTATAAGACAGCCAAAAGTGATAGGAAAATAAAAGACGTAGCCCTAGATTAATGGAACAGGTATCTGACATACATAATACAGTCCCACTGTATGCAGTCTCCCCAGGGTTCCAGGCTAGAATTTTGAACAGGGAAGTGCCAGGGACATGGAATGAGCCATGTGATCTCCCAAGGTCACGAAGTTCACAGTTAAGGATCTCCAAATATCTGAGTACATGAACTCTGTCACAAATCCCAATCGTATCTGGTAGAAACTCAGAATAAGATTATTCAGAAACACTATTTTCAATAAAGATACTTAAAAGCTGATTTCAATTTGTTTAGAACTTTTATATTTGTATGTCATGGACAACAAATTTAAATAAAAATGCTAATTTACATTACCTCAGCATTAGACCCCTTTTCTACCAACTTTATTATTGGAACTTTATTTTTGTCTTCTAACCCAAAACCATAGCTGCCTTCATTGGATTTAATCTGAAATGCAAAATATTAACATTATTAATAAAGGGACTATGAAAAAAGGTACAAACAGAATAAATGAAGAAAATTTATATAACATATTGATAAACTTACCAATAATGATTTGGCTATAACATTTTCCACAACTTTTAAATCATGTTTCATAAGTCGATGCTTCATATTTGATCCTTCCATTTCCTCATCCGCAAAAAAACGGAAAAGTAGGGGTTCATCTCTGAATTCACTTTTTTCAAGGACTACAAAAACAGAGATTCAAATTGTTCCAATTAATCCAAAAATTTGACCCATTTTTCATACTAATAGACATTCAGTAAACTAATACCTGTCCCATAACCTCAATGTAATACTCTTAGAAGAAATTTCATTCACAAATATTCCTATGATATTGTTCTATTTCTTTTGACAGCTTCAAGCCGATGTCTCCTTTAAATTACAACTAACTAAAGAGTTTAGAATTTTTAAGTATTTTTTCAGTGTTAACCTTTTTTTAAAATTATTTATTTATTTGACAGAGAGAGAGATAGCGAGAGCAGGAACACAAGCAGGGGGAGTGGGAGAGGGAGACGCAGGCTTCCCGCTGAGCAGGGAGCCCGATGCGGGGCTCAATCCCAGGACCCTGGGACCATGACCTGAGCCGAAGGCAGATGCTTAACGACTGAGCCACTCAGGTGCCCCAAATGTTAACTTTTTTGTACTCTCCCAAATTTAATAAAAGATTATATTGAATCAAAAAATGTATGCAATCCAAAACATAGAAACCTACATTGTTTTGAATTTGTAGTAAACATTTGAAGTGTGTTTTTAATATCCTGAACAATTATGGGAAAATTCAAATGGGTAAGTGTTGCTCTTATGTGTGTGAGCAATTCCCACTGTGGTCACTTTTGTTCCAACACTTCAAACCAGAAATATATCTTCTGGGTGAAATGTGATTTTAGTTTCCACTAATTCCTAGTTCTTTTCTGTTTAAAAACATTGTTCTCAAATAATCTTATTTCAATAAAGGTTCATTTTTTCCCTTTTATCTGAACGTTAGTATTTTCCCCCAAAGTCCCTAAGATTAACCTTTCAAGAACAAGGCTAAATACTGATAGACAGAATTTATATTCAGTGAGATCCTGACAGCTGTCAAAATGTTTTAAAAGAGAAATCTTCTCTATTTCTATTTATGTATCCTTGGTTGAAGCGTACTTGTTGGAACAGGGTGATTCATTGAGCAGGGTAGCTAAAGGGAAGACACTGGTCCCATGGCACTGTACAAGGTCTGGCTTTATGATGAAGCACACCTCCAGGTCTGGGATTGATTCTGGGTGTGACTTTGGGAAAGTTACTTCAACTCTTTGAACTGTAGTTTCCGCATCGGTAAAATGGGGGCAATAAAACCTTCATAACGTACAGAACTAAAAATGAGGTAATAAGTATGATTAACCTGGCATACAGAAAGCGATACAAAACTATTTTATCTCATTATTTTTACAGAGTTCCAAGTAATAACTGTTGACCAGATGATATATGTATTGATCTTTGGATGGAAGACTGGCCGGCAACTTGGGTTAACAAATGAAACTATCAAGCACAAATTAAAAAGTAACACCTTACAGTTGACAATAGAAATGAGAATATACTTCAGATTAAGTTAGGTCTTGCCTACATGACCCAAGGACTTCCCCCAAACACACATGGTGTTTTGCTACTGCTATTTTCCTCCACAAAATAGTCTGCCTAACAGGAGTGAGAATGGACATCAATAAGGCAGGCAGCAGCCCAATTGGTTGTGCTTTACTGACATAGACTTTTGTAGGGAAAACTTCTGTTGTTAACTCAATATTTTAATTTTTTGTTAGTTAATTAATTGTATTTGTTTTTTGATAGAGAGAGAGCATGCGCACATGCCTACAAGCATGGGAGAGGGGCAGACAGAGAGGGAGAACGTCAAGCAGGCTCCACATCGAGCACAAGCCCAATGCAGGATTGATTTCATGATCCTGAGATCATGACTTGAACCAAAATCAAGAGTCGGACGCTTAACCGACTGAGCCACCCAGGTGCCCCTAACTCAATATTTTAAAATAAATATTTAGATAAAATGACTGCTTGTTGATGCTTTAAAAAGAAAAACAAAATATTTGAAGGATTTCACCCTGATATTATAGTTTTAATTCCCTATAATAATATCATTTCTCCCATTCAATAGTTTTTCAGCAAGGACTAATATTTCTCTATCACATCTCATACAGTGCTCTAGAGATAGTGGGATGTAATGGAATTCCCAAATGAATGTATGCTAACCAATGATACTCTCAACATCACTGAAAGTTTTGCTATACTTCCTTCTTCATAGAAAGGTAATAACCTTGGGGTGCTTGAGTGGCTCCGTTGGTTGAGCAATCGACTCTTGGTTTCGGCTCAGGTCATGATCTCAGGGTCATGAGGGGACATGAGGGGACTCCTCAGAGGGGAGTCTGCTTGAGATTCTCTTTCTCCCTCTCCCTCTGCCCCAGTCTCTCTCTATATAAAATAAAATCTTTTTTTAAAAAAGGTAATAACCTTCTGAAAGTAATTGACAAATAGGTAGAAGTGTTATCAAATATGTGTTTATAAGCATATATATATATGTTATATATACGTAAATAGTGAAAAAGACTGGGTTTGTGGAAGATTATAAGATGCTATGAATAGAGAAGGAAAACTAAGTCTCATTATTTTTATAAATTTAGGTGTAATGAAGCCATCAAACAAGAAAAATAATTAGTAGCCAAAATGAAACAGATTTTTTCCAGAGATTTATAATTTTATCTCTGAGATAATTTTAAAAGCATTTTTCTTAAAAAAAAATGATTACCAACCATATATGCTCTCATTTAATCATTTTAATATATACCGGCATTAAAAAAAAACATGAGTCTAATCTAAAATAATTTCAATTTTTTTTAAAAGCTACTTAAAAAAAAACAAACAAACACCTTCTAGTTCAAGCTTTTGCTCTTCTGGAGTCAGTCTAGAAAAAGAGAAGAGAACTCATGGCAACTGGTAGATAAAAGCAACTAGACATAGGAATGGCACCAGAGGTGAAATTGAATGCAGATGTGACCCAGCATGGACACATGGCAAGACCCATACGGTCTTGCTGGTTCATCTCTAAATGACTTCACTAAAACAACGAGGTACTCCCAGCGCCCTAACAAAAACAAAACAGTAAAATACATCTGTGAGCTTCCAGAATAAAAATCCCTACCATGGTGCATAAATCCATTGTCACAGAGTCCGACACCAAATATCATTGCCTCTTCTCTGGTGCGGCAATCCCCCTGTTAACCACAAAAACATGGCACAACTTAACAGGCAACTAAAGGCTTTGTTGTATCTTTACTGCATTTGATGTTCCCAGCACCATATGACAAAAACATTCATTTCTTAGGGCACACACTGCTTTCATAAGCTCATGATGCACCTAATTGCTATAAAACATTCACTTGATTATAAAAACATCTTTTTTTTTACATTAAGTGAAAAACAAAGATATAATATTCCTGAGTAAAATCATACTGTATTAAACATGAAAATATATAACTAAAATTTATTGCTACCACAAATGATCCCTTTCTCTTATTTTTTCAATATTGTATCCCAACTGTGCAGCAAGAAAATATCCTATATATTGAAAACACACTAAAGTTAATGAAAAATCATTATGCATGATCTCGGCTATCATATTTCTTCTACCAAATGGCCTTGTTCTTTAAGGACCCCTAAAGAAACCTACTAACTTAGGGTGATTTATAAGACCCTAAAAATAAATTGTTCAGCTGAGCGTGTAAATGCAAGCTTCTCTTTCACTATCTTGCAGAAAAAATAATCACATCATGTAACTGAAGCAAAAATGAAAGCCCAATGCAATCTTCTGTTATGTTTTTATCTAGAAAACTTCTATTTTATTCATGTAAGTATGGATTCATATATAGAAATAGACATATGTACATATGTGTGTGTGTGTGTGTGTGTGTATAAACTTAACAGTTGTAGATTTTGTGGTTAAGAAGTGCTTTCTCATTTTATTTCTTCCTAGTCAGGTTACTGTTGCCTGAACTCTGTGCTTATTTTCATCCTTGCTTTCACTCACAATCATTCATACCTACAATGCATGTTTTTCATGTTTGGTCCACTCATTTGTTTTAAAATATCTGTTGTTAGTCCTAGCAAGTTATTCTAATATCCCTGTGCCTTTTTCTCTGTTAGATAATAATTCCAGTAAGTAATAAACAGTTGTGAAAGTAAAATCTGGAGAGATGAAGGGCCTTGTCCAACTTTGCATAACTACTTATCAGAAGAACCATCATCAGAGGCTAGGTTACCTGAGTCCCAGTCCATCACCCCAATTTCTACTACATACAATTTCTAAGACATTGTTGTAACGGATCACTAAGAAAACCTGAAGAAAAAAAATAACTGCAACGTGGTCCAGTTTTTGGGTAGCTTATTTATTCTTCTAATGCTCACATTTGAAAAGTAAAACAATGCCAAAAAGGAAAAAAGAAAAGAAAGCTGCTCACTGATTTCCTGAGTCAGGACTTTAAATATTTATTAGGCACCAACTTTTGCTTCAAAAAAACTTCCTTCAGTTTTCTCACATAGTCAACATATGGTACAAGTTCATGTGAATTCTATAAGATTATAATTCCTATGTGAAATGCCAACTCTGATATCAAGTACAGAACCAATTCTAATGACACATATTTGACCATAATATTATAAAAGGCTCTGACTCTAGTAAACCCACTGCATGTATGAATTAAGTTTTTTTATCTAAAAATAATTGCTTGGTTTAATCTAAAATCTTAACTTCCAAATAGAATACATTTAAGTGCTATAAATACAAAAGTAAGCAGTCTTTAATAGTCTAGAAATTAATATTAAATAATAAAAATCTCAAAATTTATGTGCACAGACGAATCAAATATGAATTAAACATTAATATTTGAAACAAAGAACATTTTATGATTATCAAATGTTATTCACATGTAACAAAGAGTAGGCCACTTTCTTTAATAACAAAAAAGTAAAACTGCTTATGAAATTGACTCAAATATCTAAGCATGACAACATTTCAACCAACCAATATCCCCTAACAAAATAGTAAGTTCTGTCAAAGTTGTTTTTTAATCAATGTTAAACATTTGATCATATATTAGTTGACCTAGTATGATAAAACATTTAAATTTATATTTGAATATCTAGTATGTTGGGGTAGATGCCCTAATTTGCAAATAACATTTTCTTGATACCTGCTGTCAACTCCCACGTTCTGAGAAACAGAGCAACAATAACAATAAATTTCGTAGTTCCCTATTTAAAATGTATGTAGATAAATATTAAAGCTTATATATGTCAAAGCACAGTTATCAAACAGAAAGGCACAGGGAGATTAGATAACTTGCTAGGACTAGGAAACATATCCTAAGACGAATTAGTGAACAAAACATGCAAGAAATTTTAGTGTATGTGAATATGTATTCTTCAGTGATATTCAAATTACACTTAGGTTTTGGTTTGTTGTTTTTGTTTTTGTTTTTAAAGTAGGCTCCATGCTGGGCATGGGGCCAGCTTGAACTCATGATTCAGAGATCAAGACGTGAGCTGAGATCAAGAGTCAGACACTTAACTGACTGAGACACCCAGGTGCCCCTACACTTAGTTTTTTTGATGGATCTCAGTTGATACTTTAAAAATAGGAACATCTTCCTTTTGAAAAACCACATAGCATAAAAATTAAGTTTGAAGACTGTTAAGTCAGATTACCTGGATTCAAATTCTAACTCTGTATTAGCTGTATGAACTTGGTCAAGCTATTTCACAGTGTCTCATCTGCACATGGTGACAAAAAAAGGCACCTAAATCCCCTCAAAGCTTAAAGCAGCAGTGAATTAACTCAGCAACTTCTATTTGTCTATTTACCTGTGCAATTAACCAGTCTATCAGTTTGTTGGCCATGACTACAGATTTGTAGGTTCTTAAATGGTAATCTTTATCTCTATAAAGGAAAAAGAAACCAAAACCAGTAAGAAGAGGGTAAGTAAGCACAAGAAAACATTTCATTTAATATCAGTGTGCAACAGAAAAGTTTACTAAATATAATCTGAATCTATTATCCAAGTTATGTGCAAATAACAGAGGTTTATAAGGTATACATAGCACTGGAAAACTCCTTCATCAGCTCATATCGGAAGAGACCAACAACGATACCAAAACAAGACATTTCTCCTTTGATATGTTCTTATACACAAGTAGATTATTACTGCGATATTATCCGGTAAAAACTTAGCTAGAAATACAATATCTCATCAATAAAAGAATAACACAATGGAATTTCTTCCCTTAAAATCTGGATAGAGTCTACAAAAAAAAAAAGAAAGAAAACTCATCAAAATGTGGAGAATAAAGCAACCCCTTTTATTCCCGAATTCTCCAGGAAGGCTGAATTTGGTTCAGCTGTAGTGGCAGACAGTAGGCCCGTCCCAAGGTAAACATGCTGAGAACCCTGTCATTCATCTTGTCTGATCAGGGCATGGACAACTGACACCAGATCCCAAGGGAACCAAAGGAACCAGCTGATTCTACATTAGCCTCTCCTTTCAGTAGACTTCCCAGATCTGAGAAATCAAAGTTAAGTTAGATACCAACAAGTACTCCTGATCAGAATGGGGCCCCCAGGGCAGAAATCTATAATTCATTCATTTTGCAGGCCCAGATCAAAGAGAAAATGACAGTCTTTTCAAAATGTCAAAAGATCCGAACCGCAAACAACTTGAAATGATAAATAATTACTAGCTCTATTCACAGTTCTTTAGCCCCTGTCAGCAACTGACGATATGGACATCATTTTATCCACTTTCATAAAAAAAAGTCCCTGAAAAATGGTTCATATTTCTAAGATTTTTGTAATAAATACACCAGGTTAGCCAGTAATCAACAGCAGATTCCTTTTAAAAAAAATCTTTAGGGGCGCCTGGGTGGCTCAGTCGTTAGGCGTCTGCCTCTGGCTCGGGTCATGATCCCAGTGTCCTGGGATCGAGCCCCTCATCGGCTCCCTGCTTGCGGGAGATCTGCTTCTCCCTCTCCCACTCCCCCTGCTTGTGTTCCCTCTCTCACTGTGTCTCTCTCTGTCAAATAAATAAATAAAATCTTTAAAAAAAAAAAATCTTTAAAAATAAATTAATTAATTAAATAAAATAAAATCTTTTTAAATCTATCTCCATGTTTCTGATACCTCACTGCCCATTTCATCTTGGTTTCCATAAGCAACACTAAGAAGGAAAAGGATAGTCAGCCTATTATAAAACACATGTGGGTCGATGAATTCTTCACCCAGATAATTTTTCTTTTTGTAAGCTGAGTTCACACATATTAAAAGCATGACTATCATACATTCCATCTGTTTTATGGTTTTTTCCCATAAATTTTTCCTTGACAACTCATAAACAATTGTCATTTCTAGCCAAAGAACAATTCCTTCTTATCAGCTCTTATGGAATGTAACTTTCTTGGTAAGAAATCCCATATGGCTAAAATATATTTTCAGAGCATATTTTCTCACATACGAAATCTACATATACACAGGTAACCTGAAAACTGTAATCATTACTGTTTTTATGAGTTTAGCAGAAAAGATAAATTTAAGTACCCACTTGCTATTGATTGAAGTAACCATCTTTTAGTGTTAGATTATCCAAAATATTTGCAGGGTGGCTGTGCTAGAAATCTAGTAGGGAATCAATAAATATAGGTTCATTTTCACTTCTTTTTACTTTAGGAAGCCTGTTTGTGACAGGGCACTTTCAGGAGTGATTGGGTAAATTTTGTTTCTTCCTACAGGATCTGCACTGTGTTCTCTATAAAACATCAGTGAGCTTTCCAATACACTTAAACAGCCACTTCTGGATTTTTTTTTTCTTGAGTTCTGAGTTTCCTTGAAATTGGAAACCAGAATGAAAAACAGAAACACAGCACATCAAACATTTAGATTCTATAGCCACGACGGAAAAGCATCTTTATTCATCTTGGAAATGGTACATCCATTTTTTTTGTCCTGAATATTAAATTTCAGTCAATATGAATGATATCTGGCCATTTGAAATTAGTGTAACATATACTACATTCTATCAGTGTATATCAGTGTATATTTTATAAAAATACAGTAATACTCCTGAACGTCTCTTCTATTAGTAATCATAACACAAAACTCAGTTTTCTGCTGTCTTTCTAGAGAGAGAAACTGAAAATTAATTATGACTGCACTTCAAAAACAAGGGCATATCTCTTCAGAAGGAAAAAATTGGTAGAGAATAAAATTATAAAATTTACTTATTAACTCCAAAGTAATTCTTAATTTTCAAGTACAAAATCTTTCCTTTGGATGAAAGACTATTAGGAGGAAATATTGTGGAAATACACATCCAAGTATTGATTATACAATTTAGTGGAAAAAAAATCAATATAAAGTAATCATAGTGGTATTTATAGTAAATAGTATTTCCAAATCCTCTCCCAGTCAACTATTATTTACTAAATATTAACTGATTGTGGATTATTTCATTATCAAGTCTATAATTTAGTACGGATTAATGACAAATAATTTTAGAAATCAGAATAAAAAGAGTGGAAAAAACTGCATAATTAGAGCCCCAGAAAATTTAGAAATATTTTCAGATCAATTACTACTTAAAATAATCTTTAAAAGTAAAATTTTCACTTATGGAAGAAAAATAAAATAAACCAAGAGGTTCCAGCTGAATAATACTTACCTAATATGCAATATAAATATTTCCACGTAAATTGCCCAGAACTTAGAAACCAGACTCACCTTATCACTGGAGTAAACAGACTATGAAGACGGCAATATAATCTCACTCCCTATTATAAAATAAAGATATGTCAAAAACAAGGAAGATCACTCAAAGGACAGACCAATGAAATTTTGAGACATATCCACTGTCAACATTCCAGAATCATTATATAATCTCTACCAATTTAAAAGTTATTCAACTGTTGTATTACATTAGAAAAATAATATAACTTAAATAATTAAAAACAGGATTAAATTGTACTATGAATTTGTCATATACATATGACATATACAAAGGGTTTTAAAATTATTTTTCTTAAAATGTAAAATTTCAAAGTATTAGCAGAAAATAATTCTATGCAGCAATACCTCACACTACACGTACATTATATATCAATATAAATCTTGGTGTGCAAAGAAAACTGATGTTACATAAATTTTATATATTTATATATTTTTTAAACTTATTCAAGTATAATGGCCACTTGTTGCTACATGCGACATACTTTTCAGTGGATATAATCTGAGTGTGCAATTTCATTAGTTCCATTTAGAACTACGTAAGACTATGAAAAAAATGATCTAACCCTAGAATTCTTTAAATAGCAAGAAGAAATTGAGAGGCTTGCTTACGAATGCCATTTTCTATACTAGAAGAATTTTTTTAAGTCTCTTAACAGCATTTTATCTTGGTGAAGTATGACAACATGAATTCTGCTATTGATAAAAGGTTCTGGGAGAGGTTGTTACCTTTGAAATCACATCCTGCATCTCATTTCTTGGATAAAATGTTCCATCATCATAGCGAAATCTATATAACATCTGTTCTGGCTTGAACTGATGTTTATCAGTAACTAAGAACATAGAAACAATATATTAAAATACTGACAATCTAAAAAGTGGAAAACAAAAACAAATAAATTTATAAAATACATATTCTTACATACTAAAATTTGTAGTTTTACCAAAAACTTTTGTTTCCCTAATGCAGTAATACTAATCCAGTATTCTGACAGTAAGATTTTGTTATATAATGCATTTACAATTTCCATATAATGATTTAAGAAATAAATTGAGATCAGCAATACTGTTAGCATAGTATGAGGGTATGTACAATGTATTATTTTATTTATATAAATATACAAAGTTGTGTTTTCTATTCCACGAAGTCGAGCAAAAAGTGTCCTTCAAAGAGCAGATAATCTAACTAGTGAATTATAATTCAATTCTCAGTTCTAGAAGTGAATTTTAGTATTTATCTGTTTTATCCCACAGCAATCAGGCCAAGACCACACATACACCAATCTTGACCATTTATTCTGTGTTTATTTTTTTTTAATGTTTTATTTATTTATTTGACAGAGAGAGACACAGTGAGAACAGGAACACAAGCAGGGGGAGTGGGATATGGAGAAGCAGGCTTCCTGCCGAGCAGGGAGCCTGATGCGGGGCTCGATCCCAGGACTTTGGGATCATGACCTGAGTGAAAAGTAGACGCTTAACGACTGAGCCACCCAGGCGCCCCTATTCTGTGTTTAGATGTCTGGAGTAGATTATATAATTTCAATATGTAAATTCTTCCAAAATGTCAACAGTTTTCTGAAACTGAGAAATGCTTTTCTTACATGTCACTTAATATTTTTGCCCTCAGTGGCAATGAGAATGGTCATCCTCCACTTTCATCCTTGAGGTAAGAGTTTCATATTCATAAAGACTCCTATTTAACTTCCTCTCAAGTTTTCTTTTTTTCCAGGAAAAGTATGTTATAGACAGTCTAACAAAAAAATGATTGTTTGTGGAGGAAAAAAAAAAAAACACAAATTAAACCTCGAAGAGTTTATATTTAAATGTTTTCTTTACAGGGAATGCAACATTTGCAGAAAAAGATAATTTACCACAATGGGCTCTGTTTTCATGATTAGCTAGAAGACTTTGACCTTTTTGTTTAAAATGTTGAAGGGGGATAAAAAGTTGTCAGAATTGATTTTCATGAACTACATTTGGTGAGGGGCGCCCAGGTGGCTCAGTAGGTTAAGCGTCTGCCTTCGGCTCAGGTCAGGATCTCAGGGTCCTGGGATCGAGCCCCAAGTCCGAGTCCGAGTCTGAGTCTGGCTCCCTGCTCAGCAGGGGGTCTGCTTCTCCCTCTGCCCCTCCCCCCTAGTCATGTTCTCACTCTCTCACTCGTGCGCTCTCTCTCTCTCTCATAAATAAAATCTTAAAAAAAAAACGAACTACATTTGCTGAATCCAGAAGAAAACCGAAAGACTTATCACACATACATACACGTATGTGAAGTTTCAGCTATTTTACCCCAACCTACCCAAACCACGTGCATGGCTTGCAGCCATCAGATCGACACAGGACTGTTGCCAAAGAAAGATAGACAACACCGCCTTTTGGCATCTTTTTATTTCCAGATCAAGCCAAAAAAGAAAAAAGCATGTGTGAAAGAAAAATAATATCGAGAGAAATATTTTGCAATCCTATGGCATGTTTCAAGACCAGTTATTTATTTCTTCTCTGCAATCTACCTATTCTAATTTTTTTTTTGAAAAACAGTACTTGTTTAATAATATCAACTACTATAGACAGCATTCAGATTTCACCAGTTAGGTCATTTTTAAAAAAAACTGTTCATTCAAATCACAATTCCAGATAAGGTCCTTTGTACTACCGTTTTTTTTTTTTTTTAATTATTATTAACACATAATGTACTATTTGTTTCAGGGGTACAGGTCTGTGATTCATCAGTCTTACACAATACCTATTCTAATTTTTATCCCCTAAGATTCACTGAAATAAATTATTGTCTTGATATTTCGAAATTCAAGGAAACGTTGGGCCCAAATGCTCTTGCCATAAGAACACAAATGGTGATTTAAAATTCCTATCAAAATGGGAGTGCTTAGTTGTATGGCAAACTCTTACAGGACTTTGATAATTCATCTTGGGTTAATCTGCAACTCTTAGCTGTTGCCTTGGAAAAACAGTCAATCGTTCTGCATGCAAATGCACTCCCCCAACTTCTTGAACATGAAAAATGGGTTTATTAACCGTTGAGAGTGCGGGTCATGTGAGAAAGGTTGCTTAACGTTGTCTTCTAAACAACTATGCAATATTGAGATATTACTAGGGATACAGCTGGCTTTCTAGGTGGTGGGGAAGGAGTGCTGATCTGTAGTATTCACCAATTTCTGTGGTATTAAATATTCCCACATTGGCCAATTTCAAGCTACTAAAATAAAGTCACTGAACACCGAGTTAGACGAGCAGTGATACATTATTATTTAGTATTTCCATACAGAAATAATAGATATAAATAACACTAAGAACACAGACAACAATAAAATAGAGTAAAATAATTAGGAAGTGATGAGTTTTAATAATATATGAACTTTGTTTATAGTACAATTTATGTACTGTCACATAATTTTTAATAATAGCTGTGCCTTACAACCAGCTTGCAAATCTCCAAGAAATTTATTTATTTATTTATTTATTTTTTTTTAAAGATTTTATTTATTTATCCATTTGAGAGAGAGAATGAGAGAGAGAGAGAGCATGAGACGGGGGAGGGTCAGAGGGAGAAGCAGACTCCCCACTCAGCAAGGAGCCCGACGTGGGACTCGATCCCGAGACTCCAGGATCATGACCTGAGCCAAAGGCAGCCGCCCAACCAACTGAGCCACCCAGGCGCCCCTCCAAGAAATTTAATTACCAGCTCTCTTAAGTTTGTATAAGCCAACTTCAGCACAATACTGGGGTGAATGTGGTCTCTGAATTGCATAAGCATTTATAATGTAAATAGTAGACCCAGACAAGAAAATCTATCAGCATATCATACCGAAAGCATATGCTGTTTCAACCCAATAATTCCTGATATAGCAAGGCTTTTCTTTTATGAAGTTCTCAACAATATCTGCAATGTGAATAGTGGCAATAATAGTTAAACTCTTTAAGCTTTCTCTCTTTAAAACAGATGGTTCATTCAACTTTATTTTAGGAATTCTATTTTCACTAAGTGCAGCTGGAAACACATACCAATAAAACTAGCATGTTTGGCTCATATTTCTACATTCTATAACATTATTAATGTACAATTGCATAATATGTTCTCTTACTCCCAATTCAGGGGAATGTTTACTAGTTAATTTTGGACACTTAAAAAAGTGATTACTTTTAGCAACAAAAATTCTGTATGCCAAATCTGAAATTACAACTGATCAAATCCTGATAAAAATAATAGTATAGGCTACTAAAATCAAACTGTGACAAGTAGAACGATATTAATAGAGAGTACTCAGTGCTTTATTTTTCAGAAAAAGAGTTAATCAGGTTATAAATATCATTGTTCAAAAAGATTTATTATAAGTTAAGTAATCAAAGGGTTTTTGCATTTGAAATTTCAAAATAAATTTTAATCCAGAATTTATCTCTTACTTCCTGTTCAAAATTGTATTGGAGAAAAGTGGTGTCTGAAGTTGGAGGATAAGTTGATTAGGACTGAAATTCTACCATTCTGGTATCACTTACCAAAATAATCTTACATTTTTTTTTTCTCTTTAAAGGGAGGCAATTAAAAAATATTGTGAGAAATATCTTAACAGAATAAATAAGAGTGGTTCTCTCTCTATGGAACTCTGTGATTCCTTCAAGAGCTTTCAGCAGTTATGAACTGAAGAATAGGTCAGATTCTAAAAGACTATTCATGAAGATATTTAACAAATATTATTCCAACTCTACTTTGTACTAACTTACAATTGACTTGAAAATGTTTGGCTAGCTATTCATGATTTCAGGCAAAGTAGTAACAGTTTTGTCATTGTAAAGTCAGTAAAATCCCACCCATAATAGTTATGCCTTCAGTTTTCAGAACCCAATGCACAATGCAAATAAGTAACTAGTTCTCATACAATTCCTAGGTCACCTTTGATGAAACAGGAAAGCAAGAGTGGAAGGGCGGCTTGAAAATAACCTAAAAGCCCCTTCAAAGGACATCCTCTCCCCCACACTCTGACTCTTTCCAGCTCTGGGAATAAAATTTCTGTAATTACCTTTTATCTATTACAAGGTACCTCAAAGTCAAAAAGGAAAATATTATAACAAACTTAGTGTGTTGCTCTTTCTAAATACAGTAAGCGATCCCATACAAGGACAAAAAGTTACATTTTTTAAATAATCTTTTAAATAATTTAAATAGCATCAATGTTGACAGCTTTAAGATTTTTTTCTCCTATTTCTAATTCATAATGGTTTGAAATCACTCAAATTAACAACAGAAGTTACAAAAACCTCCACTGAAATAGAAATGTTACAAGTTATTTTTATGACTAGTATATGCTGATATTACTGTAAAACATTGACAGGTTTATATAATGATTACTCTGGCTTTAATATAGTTCCATAGATTTTATATTGACCTGGGAGCTATGCCTCAGTGGCAGACACTGGGTCGTTGTTTACCAAATTGGGTTAGCTTTAGTTTCCCCTGGGCATGCATCTATACTACATTTCTAAGTTTCTCCTGCAGTAAGGAGTGGCCATGGAACTGAGCTGCATTTAAGGACATACACAAAAGTAAGGCACAACGGGGAGTGTACAAGCCCATTTAAAACAAACAAACCAAGAACTCCACCACTCCTTCAAGATGACCTTTAAGAGCCCTGCATTGAAGATGGATGAGCCTCTATCAGGCACCAAAACCCTGTGTGGGGGAGAGCACCCAACCCCATCCTCCACCAGTGACTGGACTTTACCTGAGCAAAAAAGTAGCTTCTAGGAATATAAGCCGCTGTACTGAGGTTTATATCTGTTACAGCAGCTAGTGTTAGCTAAAACAGTTTTCCTTCTCAGTTTTCCCTGCAAAAAGTTAATTCTCCCATCCTTATAGATTTCTACCTTTCTGAAAGGAAATATGTCAACAGCTGGATTGCTTGATGAACAAGGTAAAAAGATGGTCTTAAAACTACGAGACCATAAGAAACAAAGGCCATTAGTTCATGTTTACATACCTTCAAGTATCTAGCATGATATCTTACACACAGAATGAAGGAAAGAGTCAGTAAGGAAAAGAATAAACAAAAGTGTTCATAAACAGATTTTCCCTCCTTTGCTCTATTGGTAAGACATAGTCCCTGGAAGTACATAGTCTAAATGAGAAAGGAATCATCTGATTTCTGAAGGTCTATGACTGTATGCAAATCCTCTCTATAGTCTACCTATTTGAGCTTCAGTAGACTGCAGGACAAAGCAAATATATTCCCTTCTTGACCCAAGTATACACTTGGACTCGGGGTTAGAGGGAAGGAAAGAGAAGCAGCAAAGAGGAAAGCCATCTAGCCCAACATCTTTTCATATTTACTTATAAGTTTCTGAGTGATGCTTTTTAGCATACTAGGTGCTACATGGTGTTTTCACGGTGCTAAAGAATCAAGTACAAAATCATATACAATTTATCAGTATTATCTGTTTAGTCACAATAGAATTATTCATTTATTCATTCACTGAGCAAATATTTATTGAGTACCTACATTTGAGGGGCACGGGAGGTCTTTACTATATATTAACAAACAAGGCTCCTGTTCTTATAGTACTTCTATTTTGATTGGGGGCCAGAATCGGCATGGATCAAGAGAGAAATAATAAATAAACAAATAAAATAACGTAATAATTTTAGAGAGTGATAAGTTCATGAAGAAAATTTTAAAAATTAAAAACAGTTTACTGTAATAATGGGATGAGATTCTACAAGAGTGTCACTTAAGACATGAGTCATGAATACTGCGACTTTTGTCATTTCATTCACTGCTATCCCTCCAGCACCTAGAAAGGTCCCTGGTATATATTAGGAATTAATAAGTAATAGTTGAATGAGAACAGCAAGAGCAAAGATCCTAAATGCACAGTCATCCTGGAGTGTGTAAGGAAGAGACAGAAAGTCACAAGGGCCACAGTGTAATGCGTTAGGTATAACACAATGTGCCAACTCACAGAGGAAGTCAGGGGCCCAATCATGTGGGGCCTTGTGGGCCATGGTAAGAGATCTGGACTGTGGTAAGGGGTTCCAGACTCTTCTTTGAGTTTAATGGGATGCTAGTAGATGACTATAAGCAGGAGAATACCTTGATCTTACATTTGTTTTAAAAGGTCGCCAGCTGTTACCTGGAGGCCATATCATAGAAATGGAGGACAAAAGTGGGAGCAAGGAAGGAGAAGATGGTGACTGGGAAGAAGGCGGGGATCCTGGAAGTGAGAGAAGTGATCTGATTAGGGATCTATTTTGGTGGTAGAATTCATAGGGCACCCAGTATGGTGGGGAAAAACTGGGAGGATCTAGTTCATTTTCATCCCACTCTAATTAAAAAAAAAGAAAAGAAAAAAAGAACACTGAAATACCTTAGTCAAATACCTGTGTTTATTCATAATTCCCTCTTTTTCTCCTCTCCCACATTTTGCATTAGAAATTCTTCAAGTTTTACTTCTTAGTCCCATTATCACTACTTTCTTCTTTCTTTGTTGTTGATGTTCTCAGGAATCTGGTGCTCTCTTGAAATGATTATCGAATTTGTCTCTGGATCTCTCTATATTCTGAGCTTTACACATACATTTTCAACCTCTTGCTGAGCACTCCCCTGTGGATGTCTCATACCCAACCTGCCACAAACTCTTCATCTTCTCCCCACCCTGCTCCTTCTCCTGAATAATCATCCCTGTCACCCAGATAGAAACCTCAGAATAACCTGATCCTGCTCTTCACTCATCTCCCACATCCAACAGTTATCAAATATGCTGCTTCAGCTTCACCAAGTCTCCCAGATGGGCCACTGTCATCATGCCCTAGAACATATCCCTCATCCTCCTACTGCAGGGAAAGGCGGGGGCCTCCTCCCTGCAGTGAGACCTCCTGATGGACGGGGCTCCCTGCAGTGTCTCCAACATCTCCACTCCACGTTCCACACTGCTGCATCTAAGGGCTCTAAAAGCCAAGTTCTGGCCACTTTTCTGCTTAAAAGTGTCCATCATCTCCTCACCTTCAGAATAAACCCTACATATTACAGCCAGAGAGTTAAGATCTTGTGGGATCAGATGTGCCTACCTTTCTCACCGCACCCTTCCTCCCCAGTATATTCATCCATGAAGTAGACTGTCTTGCCTCGTGAGATTCTGTGCTAGTTCCTGAAGAGGCCACCATGAGCTTTCCCACTTCCATTCTGTAGCATCTATACTCTCCCTCAGGGCGGGACGTCCTTCTGCCCTTCTGTCCCTGTCAGAGTTCTATTCATTCTACAATGCCTTATATTAAGGCCCTTTCCCTCATAAAGCAGTCCCAAATACTCCAATTAGAACTTGCCATTCCTTCCTCCCAATCCCATAGTGACCTATATTTCTAATTTTTGCCTGTTTTGTAGCCTTCACATTAAAGTTAACAAATATATCACCATAAACCCACACTCCCCAAAACTCCCAGAACTACAGTTCTGTCTATGTTAGGCACTTGAAATGTTATTAAAAATACACAAGCATCCTATAATGTAGACATTTACTATAAACTAAATCGATTAATGGAATTAAGATGCCTCCAACTGGTGGACAAAGAGAATAAATTAGTAACTAATAAAATAATTACCATGGTGGATGATCCCATTTTCTAATAATGCTTGTCCTAAGTGTACACCTTCCTCAGGCCTGTGAATCTCTCCAATTTCCAACAGCCATGACACAAATTCACTGCAACAGAAATCCAGTGAAACAGTTAAATAGATCCCCCCACCCCAAGGAAGTCTATTTCTACCATGCTTTCATCAAGCAGCTTTGGAAGGAGTCTCAAAATATAAAGAAATATTTGCAGTGCATTTCAGCATGCATTTTTCACATAAGCAAAGCCCAAAATTATTTAAATTTTATTCTATTCTAGAAAACCCATGTCCATACATTCATGCTTACCTAAACCATATATAATAGCTATTTAACTTACTGAGACCTCTAATAAACACAAAGGGAAAATTTTAGAGTAGTTTTAACTATAAAGAGCATATAATAGATCCTAAAGATAGCTAACAGGCAAAATAGAAAAATAATGACTTAATATAAGAGATAGACTTTCTGGAATATGGCTTTCCAGGCACAGAAAACCAGTGTATTTAAAACTCCAAGAAGGCAAAACACAGAAAACCAGTGTGTTTGAAGTTCCAAGAAGGTAAACCAAAAAAACCCTGCCCCATGTGGCAGATGGAATTCTAAACATGTCCTCTTACCCCCCTATCGAGAATCCCATCCCTTGGTTTTGTAATCAAATCCTAATCTAGGTAGTGCTATGAATGGATTTAAATATATATATTTATTTATTTATTTGACAGAGAGAGAACAGCAGAGGGAGAGGGAGAAACAGGCTCTCCACTGAGCAGAGAGCCCGACGTGGGGCTCAATCCCAGGACCCTGGGATCCTGACCTGAGCCGAAGGCAGAGGCCTAACCGACTCTAAATGGATTTTGTATATGTAACCAAAATCCCAAGTCAGTTGACCTTAAAATATGTCAATTATTCAAGGGGGCTTGAACCAGTCAGTTGAGCACTTTGAAGCAGAGAGTCTTCTCAGGCTGATGGCACAAGAGTAAGAGAAAAGTTAAAAGCACAAGAAAGATTCAGTGAGCCACTGTTGCCTTTGAAGACAGAGGGGCCATGTAGCAAGGAATGCAGGAAGCTTCTAACTGAGAGTGGTCCTGGCCAACAGCCAGCACAAAATAGGACTTACTCTTACAGTCACAGAGGACTGAATTCTGTCAACCACCTGAATGTGCTTGCAAGTGGATTCTTCCTCAGAGCCTTAAGATAAGGGCCCAACCGCAGTTCAGCCCTTGATTTTGGCCTTGATTTTGACCTTGTGAGACCCTAAGCGACGGCCCAGTATTGCTCACCTCGACCTCTTTCTGACCTATTGAATTATGAGCTAATGAATGGGTGTTGTTTCAGGGCACAAGAACGTTGTTATTTATTTTGCAGCAATATAAAATTAATACACACCAAAAGTTCTACTATACTGTTTTCAAATTCTGAAGTTATTTAGTGGGGCACACGGGTGGCTCAGTCGGTTAAGTTGTTTTCGGCTCAGGACATCTATCTTGGGGTCCTGGGATCAGTCATGCCTCCAGCTCCCTGCTCAGCAGGGAGCCTGCTTCTCCCTCTGCCCCTGCCCCTTCCCATGCTTGGGTTCTCTCGCTCTCTCTCCCTCAAATAAATAAACAAAGCCTTTAAAAATAAATAAATAAAGTTATTTAGTAAATTCATTCTTGTATTTAAACTGTCACCTGGGGGGCGCCTGGGTGGCTCAGTCGGTTAAGCATCTGCCTTCGGCTCAGGTCATGATCCCAGGGTCCTGGGATCGAGCCCCAAGTCCGAGTCTGAGTCCGGCTCCCTGTTCAGCGGGGAGTCTGCTTCTCCCTTTGACCCTCTCCCCTGTCATGCTCTCACTCTCTCTCTCTGACTCTCTCTCTCTCTCTCTCTCAAATAAATAAATAAAATCTTAAAAAAAAACAACTGTCATCCAAAAGGAATACTCCAACACAAAGCCATCCATCAGAACTGTCTACCACATACATCTGCTGTGGCTCTGAAAGGCCAGGGAGGATGCCAGGTCACATCTTTTACCATATGGGGGGTGGGGGAGGAGCCCCAGACATCACAGTAGGATGATGTTTTGTAACACAGGAGAGCCCAGCTCGGTAGTGATGTTTTTTATGGCCCTGTGGTATCATTAAGAGAACACTAAATAGAGAAACATTTTACAATAAAATATTTTACCATGTTCATGCTATAAAAATCTAACATTTGAACTTTTACATAAAGTAATGGATACATTTTAGAACGGTTTCAACGGTTTCAATTTTACATAGAGGTCAGAGAAACCAAGCTATAGAAAGTGTCAGGAAATTACTTTTCCATTTATTTCAAAACCAAAAGCAACACATATGGCTAAAGTCAAATAACCGAGGGACATGGAATTCTAAAAATGGATATCTTGTCTAAAAAGCACATTTTAAGGCAGAAGAAGTTGTTAAAATGCTTTTAATTCTTCTATTAAAAGGAGCATTCCAAAAGAAAGAAAATTTAAAAAGAAGTAAACCTCAGTTTTTTCCTTGATGGCACAAAAATAATAAGAATACCAACTCCGGGGGCGCCTGGGTGGCTCAGTCACATAAGCATTTGCCTTAGGCTGAGGTCATGATCTCAGGGTCATGGAATTGAGCCCCGCATCGGGCTCTGCACTCAGCATAGAGTCTGCTTGTCCCTCTCCGTCTGCTCCTTCCCCCATTATCTCTCTCTCTCTCAAATAAATAAATAAAATCTTCAAAAAAAATCAACTTTTAATAAATATAAAGCTTTTAACTCCTAAGTATGTATCTGACGATTAGAAATAATGTATAGGAACAGCCAGCACAGGGCCGGGCTTAAGGCGGCCACTCTTCCCTTTGGTCCTGCAAGCTTCACCCAGCAGGGGCTCCCACATGCAGCTGTCCGCAGAACCCAGAGGACACACAGTGGATCTATGCTAAAAGCCCAGGCAACCTCTCTGCGTGTTGCTCTGTGCCAGATCCACTGCATGACCCTCTTTTTCAGACTCCTCACTGATAGTCCTCCATGCTGATCCCGGCTGTCAAAGTGCTGGATTAATTTCGGGTTTAGACTGTGTGTCTTGCGTTCTCTAGTTCTCGGACTTGTAGGCCTCGTAGCTGCATCCTTGTTGGACTTCGTCCCCTCTCGGCAAACCCGCCTGCCTGCCAGCCCTGCCCGACCCCAGCGTCCGCTTTGCCCTTGGAACATGGTACATCTGAAATTGTTGACGTCAGGGATGGATGGATAGATGTCTTAAGCTTTCCATATTTCTGGCTCTAGGTCCATTCCTTCATCCCACTATGGTCCAGGAAATGTTGACAGGAAAGAGATATTCAAAAATGCCCAAGGGATATTTTTTTTTAAAGAAAAACAAATCACTGAAGGAAGGGTAGCTAACACATGACATAGTGAAAATCTGAAAGAAATCCATGCACCCAGACTATTGACCTTACCTTCCAAGGAAGCATTTAGGGAATGTGGTCAGTTTTCTTTTTCTGTCTTTGATCAGATTCCCTTGTTTGCACATCATCTTATAGAGTTTCTCACCCTGTTCGGAGATCATTACCCAGGTGTCTTGCTCCATTCCTAACTTTAAACCTATTGAAAAGGAAACAAAGGACAGGTAACTGAAAAAGTCTCCTCACTCACTCCTGCCTGAATGAAACCAACATTTATTGCATGTCAACCCTGGGCAGGGGATTGCAGATACAGAGCTCTGTACCACAGGACCCTGGTCTTCAAGAAGCTCAGGGGATCCCAGGGAGACAGTCAGGACAGGATCCCCAGGGCTGTGTGGCACCTTTGGTTTGGCCAGTGAAGGAAGAACAGCTGCAGCTCAGGCTCCAGGCACCCCTTCTGCAGCATTCGATCAGCACAACTGGACAGGTGGCCCTGAAAACAGCCTTTCGGCAGAAGCTGTGACATAAGAAAGGCATATTCAGAGGATCTTACCTCTGAGAAGTATTAAGAAAGGTTTCACAGAAGACCAATGTTTAAACGCAGAACGGTATTTCCAGAGAGAGAGAAAGTGTTCTCAAGAGCTACCTGAGGTGAAGCACCACAGGGGGCCCACAGCCCCGGGCTGGAGGTGAGGACAGGGGCCACACTGGTGAGTCAGGGAGGGGCCTTGCTCAACTGCAGGTTCCATGTCCTTCATCCCTGAGGTATCAGGGAAACATATAAGGGTTTGCACCAGAGGGAGGGGAAAAGCAGGGCAGGACAGGAAAGAAAGTTTTGTTGCTTTGGAAACAAAGCTCAGACAACAGTATAGGAACAAACTGAAGGGGGCAGGCTTTAAAAAAGGGGAGATCATTAGAAGGAAACCTCAAAAATTCAGGTAAGGTCAAGCCCCTGCAGACAACAGTAGGGGCCATGGGGCAGAGAATGAAGCTGAGAAATATCTAGGAAGTGGTATTGATAGGATACAGCAAAGGGTTAAATGTAGGCATTATGGAAAAAGAGAGATCAGGATGCCTTCCAAGCTTTTGAGGAAAGCCGAACTGGGGAATAGGGGGGAAGAAGCATATTTGGGAAAGAGTTTCAGGTAAGGAGGAGTCCAGTACCATGCAGGGTGACTCTGGACATTCAGGTAGAGCCTAAGAGTCAGCGGAACGCATGCACATGAAGCTCAGGAGACAGGACAAGGCAGGACACAAAGATGGAGAAAGTGGCAGTGCAGACATGGACGTGAAGCTGGTAGGAATCAGTAACCCAGGCAAGGATGTATCTTAGAGGGGACCAGTGTCAAAGCTGAAACCCGAGGAATACCCACAATCAGCAGATGGAACTGACGAACTGTTGCAGAAGAAATACTTGAATTAGGGTGCCTCGGTGGCTCAGTTGGTTAAGCATCTGCCTTCGACTCAGGTCATGATCTCATGGTCCTGGGATTGAGCCCTGCATCAGGCTCCTTGTTCAGCAGGGAGTCTGCTTCTCCCCCTGCCCCTCCCCATGTGCACGCGCGCTCTCTCTCTCTCTCGCAAAAATAAATAAAATCTTTTAAAAAATACTTGAATTATTTTTAGTCTTCTAGCTACAAAATTTTTTATTAAAATTTTTATTTTTTACAATGGAGGAGCAATTACCATTTGTCAGTAGTAGAGAATAATCCATTAAGAATAGAGCCTGTTAACATAAACAAATTTATAGAATGTGCTTGTTTGCTTGTTTGCTTTCTTTCTCTTTCCCTCCCTCCCTCCCTTCCTTCCTTCCTTCCATCCTTCCTTCCTTCCTTCCTTCCTTCCTTCCTTCCTTCCATCCATCCTTCACTTTACGTTTTCTATATGCATAGCCATTCTGGAAAAAAATAAATAAATAAAGCTTCAACTTGACGAAACATTTATTTTACCTTTTAAATGATTTGCTATGCTATTTGAATTGATTGCTAGATTCAACAAAACTTAAAGAATCAGCTATGTATTCATAATCTTTGTTTTAAATTTTTCTAACTGGCTCTCCATCCAAGATCAATCAAAGGAGTTAGTATTTGAAAATGCTTTGGAAATTCTCAAACAAATGTGTACTATGAATATTTTAATAGAAGTAGGAGCTTTGTATGTTCTTCAAGGGAAAATTTCTGAAGATGGAAGAAAGGGTTCTTTGTGTTCTGAAATTTCATCAGCAATGAGATATTTTGCTCCTAAGTCTCTGAGGAAAAGGAATGAACACTGTCTTGTTTCTTACCAATTATTTGGTAAAGAAATTAGTAGTAACACAAGCATTTCTATTTCCTACTTGAATTACAGAAATGTGCTTAACTGCAGATAAACTTGACACAACTGAGTATTGCCAGATCAAATACCTTTTGCAAATCTTGCTAAAAACATGAAGCAATTTTGAGCCAGGCCTCCTCATATGAACAAACTCCTTATTGGGTTGCATTATATTCAATGGCATTGTAACAATTTTCAAATGTTAATGTATAACCAGAGTGCCTTATTCTATAATTAGGATACTAACATATTTGGTCTAGAAATTTTCAGTGTACTGTTAAAGATAAAACTGCTGAAGGCCCTGCATTATACTATTGAAGTTTGTCTCTTACAGGAAAACCCCATAATGATGTTTTAGAAATGGTAAGAATAAGGTGCAAAGAAAATTGAACACATTTTAAAGCAAATGAAACTATTTGCTGTAGACTGAACGTTTGCATGCCTCCCGAATTCATATGTTGAAACCTAACACCCAATGTGATGGTATTAGGAGGTAAGGTGTTGGGGAAGTGATTAGGTCATGAGGGTAGAGTCCTCATGAATGGGATTAATGGCCTTATAAATGAGACACAGAGAGATCTCCTGCCCCTCTGCTATGTGAGAACACAGTGAGAAAATGGCCATCTATGAACTGGAAAACTGCTCTCACCAGATACTGAATCTGGGGCTCCCAGCCTCCAGAACTGTGAGCTACAAATTTCTGTTGTTTATAAGCCACCCAGTCTGTGGTATTTTTTTATAGTGCCTCAACAGACTAAGATACTATTTAAAAGACACTGCTTGCCACAATATATCATTTTACTAATTATACAATGTTTTTCTTTTCTTTTAGCAATAATATTAGAAGTATTCAAAATGTATTTTAGGGGTGCCTGGGTGGCTCAGTCGGTTAAGCATCTGCCTTTGGCTCAGGTCATGATCTCAGGATCCTGGGATTGAGTCCCACATCAGGCTCCCTGCTCAGTGGGGAGTCTTGCTTCTACCTCTCCCTCTGCCTGCCACTCCCTCTGATTGTGCTCTGTCAAATAAATAAATAAATTTTTTTTTTTAAAAAAAAGCATTTTAGCATGAGTCTTACATCACATGGGAAATCTAAGTGAATATCATATGCCTTTTTACTTTCTCATAACTTCTGCCCATTATCTGCTTTCTTGCTAAGTTGTAATCTTCACAAAGTATAATAGTGCTCAATTCATACACCCACCTTTTCGCCGTTCTCTTTCTTTCAAAATAGCTTCAAACCATTCATGTTTCTCCTCAGGTGTTTTTGCCATACACACAAACCATTTATTTTTCGCTGTGTTATGTATCTTCCATCCATTGACAACAATGTGTCCACTGCTATGGAAGTCAGCTGGAAATTAATGGGTAAAGGTGAACAACAAATATAATATCAATACAATCATTCAGTTCTCAACAGTTCCAAGATCATTGAATTCTCAAAAGTATCTTTGCTTTATATGTGTGAATGAAGAACATAAAAACAAAAAAATTAAGTGTTTATATATTAAATGCCGTCAGTACTCAGGAATAGAACATTTCTAACTCATAACATTAGTATATTACATGAAACTGAACATCTGAACTAATATTCCTTTCCTCTATGTCCAAAAATATTGTGAAAGTTCCTAAAGTAATAAAAAAAGAACTTTTAAAAGATTTTCATCTCAATAATCGAATATCCAAGGTGTCAAATTCATTTTGTCTTTTTAATATTCCTTTGAAATATCATTCTAGGTTTCAAAAGCAAACTATACCACCACAGAACAATTCTCAGCTGTTTAATGAACCGCACAATAAGAATCAGAACAAATGAATGGAACATACCAAGAGTACATTTACATAATCTTCAATAAATGGAAAGGTTCAAATGCCTTATCATTATCATTGCTCATGGTTGAAAAATACACACTCTTTAAAATTAACACATCATTCCATATAACTTGCTTGAATAAAAACAAAAAAATTTTTTGAGTCTGAATTCACATTGTCTTTTTCTACGTCTCATCGTAATTTTGGCTACATTGTCATGCTGGATTTGAAAATGCCAACAGAAAACCCTCTATGGCAGTTTTCTGCCTAATAGCAGGTAGAGAATAGTGATGTTACTTGTATCCAGCCTTTACTGGCATGACAGTCTGCAAAGCAAAGATTCAAAATGAAAAAACATATGACAAAGGCCTGAGTCAGCACCTGCACCAATTTAAAGTGACACTTTTAATTCATCTCCCAGAGAGTCACTAAACAGCAATGGTGGGTAGCCAGGAGGTGAGCCACAAAATGTTAAAGGTGGTTTAGAGAAATGACTTCGTGGCACTGTACTATTTTTTATTTATTTTTTCTCAAATGGCTTATTTTATTTGGTGAGTTCTGGCAGGCATGGTTGGCACTCATTCTCCCCAAATCTTGTCCCCATTGTCTTTTTAGCTCCAAAATCACCATACAGTATATGTGACCAGATTAACTATTCCAAAAATGCATTTTCAAATGATTCCATATAGTTGAGGGTCTTTAAAAATTCCAAGTTATATATGAGCCAGGATAGACTTATATTAGATCTTAGTCTATAATATATATATACATACATATATGTGTCTCTCTCTCTCTATATATATATATGCCATAATCCCATTAATAATAACAATTCTGATAAAGTAGCGATTCAAACTAGCAGAAGATTTCTGCCATCAGGAAATAACAGTCTGTTTTTAAAAGGAATTTTTGTACTTTCCTTCTTACCCTTACATAATTAATTCATATTCATATCCTATACAAAGTAGCAGATCCTAGTAATATATGTCAGATAGGTATCAATGACATTAGTAAGAAAGTAAAAATTATTAGTTAATAATTATACCATAATGCCTTGTTACCTCCTACAAAAATCACCAACTGAGAAATAATGATAAATTGGTAGGGAAAAAAGATCAAATTGTACATGTCTACACACCCTCCTCCTCAACTGTGTCACCTTACAGGGTCAGTATCACAAACAAGCATAATCTTTTCAGACTCTCCCCTCTTCCACAATCAGACCGAGATTAGCTAAGTGAACCCAGCATAAAGACCCCACATTCCCACTAGTGTTATTCCCCTTTTAATCATATTCCAGGTAAAGAAAATCACAAGAACCACACGCAATGTACAGTAAAATTAAATATTGGACTTACTTTAAAATGAACATAATGTATTCTTCCCATAGAACACTGAGGAACACAAGTTCATGTGCTAGGCTGATGCTCCTGACCCTGCACATCATATGCCCGGGGCCAGACAGCCCTGTAACCTGGGTCTTCCTTCCTTCCCTCCCTGGATTATTTGAGCCTGGCATTGCTCTCTCCACACCCTGCTGACTCTTCCTTCAACATTTTTCATCAGGCCATTCCTTACATCAAAAGCCTTTGGTAGCTCACCACTGAATCAAGTGAAAACATGAAAGCTTGCTTTCGTGCTTCTTCTTAAATTGACCCCTCCCCCCCACTGTGTTCTTCTGTGGCCCTGCCACTTTTTGCGGCTTTCCTCCTTGTCCTGTAACTTACTCGTTCTCCAGGCTGATGCTCACTCTCAAGCTACCCAGCTCTGCTCTCTGCCTCAGCAACTCTTTTTTCTCCTTAAAGTGTACCCAGATCTTTTGCGAAGCCTTGCTTAACCATTACAACCTGGGCATTCAAACTTCCCTTGGAAAATGTATGATTAAACTCAGAACCAGACAAGTCAGCATGTGATTGCACGTGGCCATTGTTTCATGAACAGAAAGCAAGATTATTAACTGACTGTAAAATCTGCCAAGTCAAATAAAAGGTTAATTGCTGTACCAATACAATACTTTGAAAGAACAGCTTATGTCACCTAATAATTTAAAATGAAAGGATAGGGGCGCCTGGGTGGCTCAGTCTGTTAGATGTCTGCCTTCGGCTTAGGTCATGATCCCGGAATCCAGGGATCGAGCCCCGCATCAGGCTCCCTGCCTAGCGGGGAGTCTGCTTCTCCTTCTGCCCTTCGCCCTGCTCGTGCTCTCTCTCTCGCTCTCTCAGATAAATAGATAAAATCTTTTAAAATAAATAAATAAATAAATAAAATGAAAGGATAATATTCCTTTTTTTTTTTTGAAAGATTTTCTTTATTTGTCAGAGAGAGAGAGAGAGAGCACAAGCAGGGGGAGCCGCAGGCAAGGGAGAAGCAGGCTTCCAATGGAGCAAGGAGCCCAATGACCTGAGCTGAAGGCAGATGCTTAATTGACTGAGCCACCCAGGTGCCCAATAATGTTCCTTTTTAAAGTTTATGTGCTAGCCACTTTCTATCACTAATTTTAAAAATCATAATTTTAAACATATATACAAACATGTATGTGTATATATAAAACAGGACTCAAAAAGTAGTATAAATATCACAGTGATATCAGTTACCAAATTACCAATGTTCTACCAAATAAGCAACTGATTCTCATTTATTTTGAAATGAGAATTAGTGATATATAAATGGCTTCATAATTTCAATCACAGCACATTTTTCAATAACTTCATTCTAAAAAATAAGTTTGAATTCAACTTATTTATTAAGAACAGCCACATAAAGATCATGGAAGAGGCACATGGGTGGCTCAATCAGTTAAGCATCTGCCTTCATGGGGCACCTGGGTGGCTCAGTCGGTTAAGCGGCTGCCTTCGGCTCAGATCATGATCCCAGGGTCCTGGGATTGAGCCCCGCATCGGGCTCCCAGCTCTGCGGGAAGCCTGCTTCTCCCTCTTCCACTCCCCGTGCTTGTGTTCCCTCTCTCTCTGTGTCTCTCTCTGTCAAATAAATAAATAAAATCTTGAAAAAAAAAAAAAGCATCTGCCTTCAGCTTAGTTCATTATCAGCTCAGGTCATGATCCCAGGGTCCTGGAATCAAGCTCATGAGCCCATGTCAGGCTCCCTGCTCAGTAGGGTGTCTGCTTCTCCCTCTGCCCCTCCCCCCCGTTCTCTCTCTCTCTCTCAAATAAATGAAATCTTTAAAAAAACAAAATCATGGAAAAGCCCAACAGTGCTTTTCCTTAGTAGAAATTTAAAAATATTTTTTAATGAAAGAATAATTTATTAATGCCAAATGTAGGAATTTGCAAGTTTCAATGGATCTAAAATATAATTCTACAGGAAGTGTTAAAAAGGAATGGAATTAAAATCGTCATTCATTAAGTGTAGAATATCCAAATTCAACAGTCTCTAGGCACTGATGTCTTTTCCGAAAAGAGAAAAATCCAAGGGGCAGCCCTGAACAACTTACTAATTACTTTGAAGCTATACAGTTTACAAATTCCTCACTCTTAATTCAGCATAGTTTTACATAATGAGATGAGGTTTTTCTAAAACTGATACTACTATAACTCTCAGTGGAAATGCTGGTATCTTTTCAATAGTGTGAGTTTAATGAGATGGAAGCTAGCCAAGTACTCAGGCTAGGAAACAGAAGAAACTGCCAGAAAATATTATTCAAAACATCAAGAAACTGATGTCTAAACAATGTGTTTAACCCTTATTCTGGTGATCAACAGTGTGCATGCACAAATTTCTAAGAGAAATTTTAAAAATTATAATTTACTCACATTATGAATACTTAATGCTGAAAAAATTACTTTTTGGAATAAATCTTTGATCTTATCAAATAACAGAAGAAAATTTTCTGGTATCCAAAATTTCATTTGACATTATTTATGGCAAAAAAAGTTTTTTAAAAAAGGTTCTAACTGATTTTTCCTTTTAAAACTAGAAGTAGCTTCCTTAACCTTTTTGAAATTCCCAATAACATATTGAAAATTTAAGTGTATCAGGAAGGAACGAATATATGCCTGGTAGTCTTTTCAACATTGTAAAGTTATGCTGCTTTTTAATTAAGAATGTATTCAATTCAGCTTATACAACAGTACTATGGTTGTTAAGGTAACTATGGTTTATCTATTTTGTTGACTATTAAGTAACAATAAATATATGTTATGTGGTGATAAGACATGAAAATAAAGATGACTATAATTCAGAAAATGATTCTATTTAATTGAAAAGAGGATATAAAACTATAGAGGGCGCCTGGGTGGCTCAGTCAGTTAAGCGGCTGCCTTCGGCTCAGGTCATGATCCTGGAGTCCCTGGATCGAGTCCCACATCGGGCTCCCTGCTCGGCGGGGAGTCTGCTTCTCCCTCTGACCCTCCCCCCTCTCATGTGCTCTCTCTCATTCTCTCTCTCTCAAATAAATAAATAAAATCTTAAAAAAAATAAAAATAAAAAACCCCCAAAACTATAGAGTTCATGTTTTTAAGCATTTTTTAAAAATTTGTGCATAAAAAGAAAATTAAAGGAATATTTTAAAATTCTCATTTATTTCTCTTTAGATGATGAAATTATCTAGTATTTTCAACTTATTTCTGTTATTTCCAAATTTTCTCTAATTAGCAAAATTTAATTTTAAAAAAACCCAATGTGTTTAATATCTTTAAATGGTTTAAAATATTTATATTGAAAATGGCAGCTGAAATCTTTCTTTAAAAAAAATCTATTTACTCTAAAGAACACCTTAAAGAATAAATAAATTTCCAACTTACTTATTTTAAATTTGACCATTGTATTGAAATTTGTGGTTTGTGTAACACTGAACTGCAGATCACATTTACTAAAGGTCACCATTTTGCCCTCTGTCCAACTACACAAATAAACTAGTTCTTAAGAAAGAATACAATACAAAAATAAACTAGTTCTTAAGAGAGAATATAAATGATCTGTTGTTATCTTCTGAATGAATTTCTAAGCATATACTATGAAAATTACCAAGAAAGTTAATGGCAGAAAGTTCAACAGCTTTCCTATTTAGGTCTTAAGCTGGATACTTTTTATGCATTATGATCAAACTAATATCTCAGAAAGAATCTTCAAAGAAGACTTAAATTAGAATTAGACAAAATGAGAGATGGATCTAGAGAATGGTGGAATAGAAATTTGGCCACAAACTCAATGGCTACCACCTTCCTTGAACATAAACAGTAATGGATAACATGGATATATTAAAATAAATACACAAATTTTTACATTTCTGCATGTCATATCATTATTGCATCAATTTTTTGTATTCTGAGATATAACTGATATAATCCAACTCATTAAACATTAGAAATAAAAGTATAATCAGGTTTATTTTTCAAAAAGATTTTAGATAGTTACACACTGGCTAAAAGCTTAGTCTCATTCCAAATGCAATTATTTCTTCTGCAAGTTTTGAGCTAAATCAATACAATCAGTGTCTGATGGAGTCCTTAGAAAAGAAATGCATTTTACTTATACCTAGAGTATGCAAAAATACCTAATATTTTTATAATATATTCAAGTAGATGGGGGGACATTTAAACTTTTCATCAAAAGTTCTAAGCACTCTTAAAAATATATCTTGGTTAATTAATTTGTATTATTTACCCACAACATGGTATAGTCATTGTTTGGTTTTGGTTTTGGCAATGAGCAGATGAGCCTGACAGTATTTACCATCCCTCATGTAACTCATCCAGGGTCCAAGTGTGGGAAGGACTTGACATACGGACATTGGTCAGCTCTGCTGAGATCTATCAACATCAGAGCTCCCATTCATAGAGTTTAAAGTAAGAACACTTGGGGCACCTGGGTGGCTCAGTCATTAAGCGTCTGCCTTCAGCTAAGGTCATGATCCTGGGATCAAGCCCCGCATCTAGCCCCACATTGGGCTCCCTGCTCATTGGGAAGCCTGCTTCTCCCTCTCCCACTCCCCCTGCTTGTGTTCCCTCTCTCACTGTGTCTCTCTCTGTCAAATAAATAAATAAAATCTTTAAAAAAAAAAACAGTAAGAACACTTAAAACCTGAGCTCATCAAAAAGAAATGGAGATTTTGTGATGAAAATGACCAAGAAAACAAAAAAGGAGAAAGTTGGTGTAGCACCCAGATCGTTTCTTAGAAGAAACGAACAACCAAAGTTAATCTCTATATACTGATGCCTTATCTCTTCACAGCTCTCCAGTTGGTCCCTATAGATTTAAAACCCATATGGAACCTCTGCTCCCTATTTCTCAAGGCATGGCCATGGTCACCAAGGAAACCTCACTCCAGCCCCAGCTTCATATTAAACATCTGGGTTAACTTGGACGAGTTAGTTCTTCAATGTGGCTTCATTTCCATCATCTGAAATGTTAAGAGGGTATATTAGTTGATCTTCAAGATCCTATTCATCTTCAGAAATTCTATTTTTGAGTTTCCAAGTCCTGGCTGAGGATGTACGCTTATCCTAAAGACCTAGTAGTCACACTTACTAGAATACTAAATTTTCTTTGCAGGAAGCAAAAGGAAGGTAGCCAGCTGCAGCCTAAAATTTCTTTAAGTGACCTTGTAGCAAGTATTTGTAGCCAAATTCCTGCAACATGCTGTGTATATATGTTAAAGGAAGAAATAAGGCCTTAACTGGATACTACAAAGTAAAATTAATTCTTTCATCATATTTCAATGAAACCTGAGCCTTGGAAGTTTGTGCCAAGAGGTGTCATCAGACAATTTATGACTAAATATTCTAAAATGTCCTGTCTTCCCCACTAATTCATATCTACCAGGGTCTGAAGACTTGTTTCCCTAACACCCCTATCCCCCAGGTACTGAGGTCCTGAAGGCTACAATCTTACCAGCACTAAAAGAACATTTTCATGGGATTGAATCCAAAGGCCATTTGCTCCATCACCCAACATAGGCTCTCACTGCCCTACATCTATGCTGAAGATGGTATTCTTTTTTTTTTTTTTTAAGATTTTTATTTATTTGACAGAGAGAGGCACAGCAAGAGAGGGAACACAAGCCCCGATATGGGGCTTGATCCCAGGACCCTGGGATCATGACTTGAGCCGAAGGTAGACGCTTAATGACTGAGCCACCTGGCGCCCCTGTAGATGGTATTCTATGCCCATGCCTCCAATGGCCCCGGGCTCTTAGATTTCCTTATCTAGTGCCCCAGTTTCCCAAAATGTAGGAATCATTGTCAAATTCATCAAAATTTACCAAAATTCACTTAGATTACCTGTGCAAATGGTACAAATGGGGACGACCACACCATCAGGGGGAGAGGGAAGGAAATGAGACACAGGAGCTGTGTGCCCATGAAAAGGCATAAAAAGGGGAGAAAACAAAGAGAAGGCTAAAGCAACAGGGGACAGGTGGTTCCAGCAGGGGGAGACAGGGCCAAGAAGGAACAAAGTGGAGGTTTGAGTGTGCCTTCCTCGGCCTTCCTTCCACCCACCTCAAGTACAACATGGGCTTTTGGATATTCTCTTGAGCAGTCAGGTTACCGAAGCAAGATAGCTGTTCACATGTAGACAGACAACATTCCTAAATGTCACTAGAGTCCTCTCAGAGCATTAAAATGAATTAAAATACCACCTTATAAAAAATATTGTGCACATCCTGATATGGAAAAATAGCCTACTAAGTCCCACATGTTAGCATGTGAGTATTTGCGGACAGGGATTTTCAGCTGTGCCAGCAGTCAGACAGCTCCCACACCTACATCCCTCCTTTAGCCCATGTGGAACCTCGCCACAAGATAACTTGGTTCCCAGGAGAGTACACCTGAGTTTTGCTCATTGCGCATCTTTTCCCCTTACCTGCAGCAATCATGCTTCACTATTTATGTTCTGGGCAATGTTTTAGGATGCTAACAATGGGATAGAGAAATGGTACACAGGTGAGCATCTGAAAATTTGTGCCCATGCAGATGGTAAACATTCTTCTCCCCTCTGGGACTAAGAGACGGCAACAAAGGTATGTGGTAGCAGGGAGCTGATCTGTGCCCCAAACCCATGTTTAAATGGGGTATTATAAAGGCATTTCTCTATATGGGAATTAAAGTCACTTAGCAACAATTAATATATTTTGTTTCATCTTGTCATTTCTCCTAGAAGCATATCTTTGAAATTCGAATTAAAATCATTGGGGGGGGGAAATGTGATCCAATTTACTAATCATGCATATTATAGACTAGTATATCATCATATTACTTAATATTACACATTTATTTTTTCAAATAGAAAATAACTTATTTAACCTCAAACATTTATTTAATGTTTGTGACTAATCATGACTTGATAAGCTTACTTGTCAAAGTCTGTACCTTCAAAGCTGCAGTGTGAAAATGCACTATCTTTAAGTAATAAAGTAAAATACACACAACACACTTATTCTACAAGCAAATTGACAGCATGTTTATATGCATGGTGGCTGTAGAGCTAAAACAAATTTAGAGTTTTCCATATTCTACAGTGAACATACTATATGAAAAAATATCATATATATACATATAAAACATAGTATAACTTGAAGAAAATAAATTAATTCCTTATTCTCTGTACTCATGCTGGCGATACCAGGAACTGTGAGTGTGTACATCACTCCTACTCAGCTATTTCTTTGTATCTCTGTGTTGAATGCTAGTGTGTTTCGGCCAAGTATAATTTTCTACTTCCGATAGTCCTCATCTCTCTTATCTTGCCTTTCTCCTCCAACTGCTCTACCTAACAAAGTATTTCTAAGCTCTAATGCGCTGCAAATGAATTATTCAGGTGAGAAGTCTGTCTTATGAGGGAGTTTCCTATCGGTGTTTCACTTTAAAACTACAAATTACCTACCCGTGCCATCATCCACATTCTCCACTTCCATCACCTCTGTATTGATCCGGCCACGAAAAAGGTACCGATGTCCATCTGTAGATGCCTTGCTATTCTTCAACCGTCTTGTAATGGAATGAAATCACAAAAACTTTGTTACTAAACTTAATAAAAAACAGTGTTGAAGCAATATGGTGTAAGCTAACCTCTGAAAAAACACAAAAGACACCAATGCAATCAATGATATTGTTAGGCTCGTGGTGTTTTATACTTGTGTCCTCCCATTCATAACAGCATTGGTTGCTTTACAAATGAGGCTTATGTACTAGCTTTTGTAAACAAATGGAAGCTTTGGACTAAGAACAACATACAGCTGGGTGGGTAAATATGTGCTTTTGCTCAATTTAGAACATAAAAGGTACCAAATCAAAGTCTGTTACACACTGAAAGTTATTTTAAAATTTCATTTGATTTCTTTCACTTTCATTTCTCATTTTTCAGTAACTAGCTGGTAATTTCCATTTTTTTCAAGCTCGGGTAAAATTCAGTTAGTACTTATGATTCCTCTGCAAAGAAACTGACTGTGCTGGAAATTCTTCAGTTGAGTGTTATCCAGCTGAAAATATTTTTCCTATATTGTTTCTATGATATGAGACCTATATACTTGTTGAATAAGTCTCTTAATACATGTATAATCTTTTATAAGGGTCTTATTTATTTTTAAAATAGTCTAAAACATTCCAAAACTTTGGTATAGTGTGTCTAATACTGGTCTTTAATCTTAAAAGGTATGTACAACAAAGTTAAAATATCCAGGTTTGTAAATGAACATTTGTAATAATGAATTATGTGGTTAAGTGTGTTTATACTTGAATCACTGAACATACAGAAGAGATATTTTAGAAAGTTTTGTTAATTAAAGAGGAAAGATTTTAAGAAATGATTCAGGAGGATTCAAGAATACCTAGTCACTCAAAAGATTTCAATTAACTTAAACTATTCCATTTGACTCATTGACAAAAGTCTTGCTAATAATTTAATATACTGAAATAATTATTCATTTACTGTGTTGTACAGACACATCTAGCAAAAGTGAAGATGTAAATGTTCACCAACTTCAATATCCCTCTCCTCCTCACCCCTGCAGTTAGATATCAGCCCTCCCTGCAGGGAGGGGTCACAAGGTGCTGTCCCAGTCCCTGAATTCCTTCCGTGAAAGACAGGATATATTCCTCCCTTACATGTCTAAAGCTTCATCAAAACTTAGTAGTCCTTCATCCCTACTAAAAGAAACTAATTAAATAGATTAGTTAACCTGATTTAGGGTTTCTCAGCCCAGGCCTTCACCATCTTGCACTCCGATGTTCATTATGAAAGTGACCTCTAAATGTCCTTTGCTAATAACCTTAAATAAATGCTACCAATTAGGGATTCAGGCCATATAGTACGCAAGGTTGGCATCATAGCCACCCAAGGATAGAGAAGAATGCAGAGCACACTAATATGTAGGTAATTGTATATTCTCCCAGGTAGGACATAGTATTGTGGGTCTTGCAAAAGAGAATTTCTTGTAAGTTTATACATCATACTTCAATCATTTTTTTTAAGTTTAATATCCTTGATAACAGTTTTATTCACAGGCAAAGAATCATACCATGGAATCTATCACTGGTCCTATTTTCTAAAGCATTAATTTTCTTTGTGATCTTGTCAGTTCTGAACAGGCTTTTATATTTCCCTTGACCTGTAGATAATAACACTCAATATGAAATTCCAGTAAGTGTCTGATCAATATTGTTAACACTTAGCTTAAAAAGAGAGACCTTTGGTCCCTTCAGAAGGTGGTTCTATTAAAGTATACCTACTGAAAAGCCTATGCTTTGAAAATAATTTTGCTCTATATTGTAATGTAGAATATTTGATATCCCAATTCTATGATTTCCCTCCCAATTATGTGTTTTAGTGGTCATCAGGATACATCTTGCAGGGATGTTCATAATAGCAGAAAAACTAAGACAAACAAACAAAAACCTAAACTCCACTGATAGGAGAGTGAATAATATTCAACCAATGGAATATTATACAAAGTTAAATGAATAAACTATTCCTATACATATGGATACACAGTTTACAAACTATATTGTATACAAAATATAAACTGCAGAAGACAAAATACATTATAATACTTACAAAGCTCATTAACAGCCAACCTAAGCCATATCATGTTTTATGTATTAAATATTACACAACACAGAGGAGGAGCAAGATGGCGGAGGAATAGGAGACCTAAATTTTGTCTGCTCCCAGGAATTCAGCTAGATAGGTATCAAACCATTCTGAATACCTACGAACTCAAGAGGAGATCGAAGAAAAGAATAGCAGCAACTCTCTGAACAGAAAAGTGACAACTTTCTGGGAGGTAAGACAGGCGGAGAAGTGAATCCAAGGTGATATTTGGGAAGATAGACAGCGAGGGGGGGAGCCTCCGTCAGCCGCTACCGGCAAGTGATAGAGCAGCAGAGCACAAAATCGGAACTTGTAGAAGTCTGCTCCACTGAGGGACATCACTCCAGTGGCTAAGCAGGGGGTGGAACGCCCATGGGGACAGTGTGGTCTCAGGACCCTCGGGGTCACAGAAGGACTGGGGGTGTATGAGTGCAGCAGAGCCCCAGGTATCGGAGTGGGGAAGCCAGCTGCAGAGACGGAGCCAAGGAGTGAGCTCTCAGCTCGGGGTTGCCATAAACCGTGATCCGTGGCACAGTGGGGCCACTGCTCTTCCAGCAGGGCCCAACAAGTGGCAGATCCAGGGAGACTCCCCTTCCTCCCCTGGGAGGAGCAGCATGGGAGCGCACCGCAGGGATCTGCTGGGTTTGGAGACTCCACATGGGGTCATGAGCCAGAGACAGAAATGCTTGGTTACAGGCCGGTGAGCACAGAGGGCGGCTGGAGACCGGGGAGACAGGAATGATTGACTGCTTTAATCTGGGGGCTCACTGAGGAGTGGAGCCCCGAGTTCTCGCCTCCTCCAGGACGGAGATTGGGAGGCCGCCATTTTCACTCTCCTCCTCCAAAGCTGTACGGAAAGCTTGCAGGGAGCTCACGAGAGCAAACCCGAGCAGATTGCTTAGCCCGGCCCCCTGCAAGGGCGAGGCAATTCCGCCTCTGGCAAAGACATTTGAGAACCACTGCAACAGGTCCCTCCCCCGGAAGATCAGCAAGAATATCCAGCCAAGACCAAGTTTACCGGTCAATGAGAACGGCAGAACTTCAGCACCCAGGGAATACAACACACAGAATTCGTGGCTTTTTTTCCCATGATTCTTTAGTCTTTCAAAGTTAATTTTTTTAATTTTCTTTATTTTTTCCTTTTCTATTTTTTAATTATTTTTCCCTTTCAACCAACATATCTTATCAATCCCTTTTTTAAAAATCTTTTTTATTTTTCATTTTTACAGTCATATTCTATCCCTTCATTGTAGTTAACCTTATTTTTTTTGTGTGTGTATATATATATATATGTTGTTCTCTCTTTAAAATTTTGGGATACAGTTTCTTCTAAAAGACCAAAGTATACCCTAAATCTCTAGTGTATGGCTTTGTTCTAGTATCCTGCCTGATCAAATTCTTTCCCCTCCTTTTTTTTGGTTCCTTTTTTAATTTCTCCTCTTTCTTTTTTTAACCAACTTCTTATCGATTCCTTTTATAAAATATTTTATAATTTTCATCTTTAAACTCATATTCCATTCCCTCATCATATTTTTTTTTTATTTTTTTTTTTAAGATTTTATTTATTTGTGAGAGAGAGAATGAGAGACAGAGAACATGAGAGGGAGGAGGGTGAGAGGGAGAAGCAGACTCCCTGCTGAGCAGGGAGCCTGATGTGGGACTCGATCCCAGGCCTCCAGGATCATGACCTGAGCCAAAGGCAGTCGCTTAACCAACTGAGCCACCCAGGCGCCCTCCCTCATCATATTTACCCTTATTTTTGTACATGTATAAGTTTCTCTTTCCTTAAAATTTTGGGAGGCAGTTTCTTCTAACAGACCAAAATACACCCAAAATCTAGTGTGTGGCACTGATCTATTCATCAGCCTGATCATATTTGCTCATATTCTTTTTTTTTTTTCCTTTTCCCTCTTTCCCTTTCTTTTCCCCCTGGTTTCGAGTCTCTTCTGATTTGTTTACTGTATATTTTTCTGGGATCAAAGTTACCCTGTTAGCATTTTGTTGTCTCATTCATCTATTCTCCTCTGGACAAAACGATAAGACAGAAAAACTCACCTCAAAAAAAAGAACAAGAGGCAGTACCAAATGCCAGGGACCTAATCAAAACAGACATTAGTAAGATGTCGGAACTAGAGTTCAGAATGACGATTATAAACATACTAGGTGGGGTGGAAAAAAGCATGGAAGATACTAGAGAATCCTTTTCTGGAGAAATAAAAGAACTAAAATCTAACCAAGTCAAAATCAAAAAGGCTATTAATGAGGTGTAATCAAAAATGGAGGCTCTAACTGCCAGGATAAATGAGGCAGAAGAGAGAATTAGCAAAATAGAAGACCAAATGATGGAGAATAAAGAAGCTGAGAAAACGAGAGATAAACAATTACTGGATCATGAGGGCAGAATTCGAGAGATAAGTGATACCATAAGATGAAACAATATTAGAATAATTGGGATCCCAAAAGAAAAAGAGAGAGAGGGGCAGAAGGTATATTGGAGCAAATTATAGCAGAAAACTTCCCTAATTTGGGGAAGGAACCAGGCATCAAAATCCAGGAGGCACAGAGAAACTCCTCAAAATCAATAAAAATAGGTCAATACCCTGACATCTAATAGTAAAACTTATGAGTCTCAGAGACAAAGAGAAAATCCTGAAAGCAGCTCGGGACAAGAGGTCTGTAACCTACAATGGTAGAAACATTAGATTGGCAACAGACCTATCCACAGAGACCTAGCAGGCCAGAAAGGACTGGCATGATATATTCAGAGCACTAAATGAGAAAAATATGCAGCCAAGAATATTATATCCAGCTAGACTGTCACTGAAAATAGAAGGACAGATAAAAAGCTTCCAGGACAAACAAAAACTAAAGGAATTTGCAAACACAAAACCAGCCCTAC